AGAATATGAAAGATTGTAATACTGCTCCCACACCCTTGAGTACAGATTTTTATAATAGTTTAAGTGCGGACTAAGGTGAAACCTGTGATCAAGAGATATATCACTCAGCAATAGGGAGTTTGTTATATCTACCACAGTAGTCCAGACCAAACATAGCTTGCGCAGTAAGCATTTTGAGTCGTTTTACTGCTGCACCTACAAAGTTACATTGGATGGGTGTAAAAAGGGTTCTCAGATATTTAAAGGGAACTATAAATTTGGGTCTTCAAATACAGGTTACTGAGGAATTGAAATTAAAATGTTATGTTGATTGTGACTATGCAAATGACATAAACACAAGGAAATCAAATTCTGGGTTTATAATATTGTTTCGAGGGACTCTGATTGGATGGAAGTCCAGAAAACAAACAACTGTTGCTATTTCAACAGCGGAAACAGAGTTTATTGCTTTATCTGAATTGTGTTCTGAAGTAACATGGTATGTACAGTTGTTGCAAGATTTAAATATTAATGTAAAAGAATCTGTAAAGGTATTTGAAGACAATGCTGCCTGTATAAAAATGGCAACTGGTGACAGGGTGAAGAACAGAAGTAAACATGTAGACATTAAGTATTGTAATGTCAGGGAAGCTGTAAAAGGAAAATTGATTAGTTTACATCATTGTTCTTCTGAGGATAATTTGGCAGACATGATGACTAAACCATTGGGTAGTGTTCACTATGGAGAATGTATTAAGTCAATAGGTCTGATGTCTCTTCCTGTCATGAAGGGAGGAGTGTTGGAATATTCATGAGCAGGAAGAGTCATGTGGTAACTCAGTCAGCCAATGTGAAGAAAGTGCTACTGAGTCTGTGGAAAAGGGTATTGAGTTAGGAGCTGGATTTCCAGTCTCAGGTTTGTCTCTGTATCTCTCTGTAAGAAGTCTTCATTGAGCTATGTTGCTGTAAAGAAGAATGTATGGTATTGTAAATATTTGGATATGAATATAAAGAAATGTATTTGAATCAGCTACATGCAGTCAACTGTGAGAGCTTCTGATTTATTTTTTCACCAATAGAGAAATTAAAATTCTCTAACAAAAACATATGCAATAAATTAATTATTCATGGTTTCTTCATATTCGTTTGATTTTTTTCAGCTGCTTGCTTTTTTGGGGGGGAGGGGAAATCATCCAGTGCAATAATGGCTATTTTGATGTTACTTTTTTTTCTTTATCGTGATGCATATATACATCAAAAAGAACCATAAAGGTTCCACTCAGCCGCTTTTATCATTAGCAACTCTTCAGCCAACGGGTAGATTGATACTCCTGAATATATCCTTCCACAGAACTCTCAATCTGTTTTACTTCTGGTGTTGTTTTGTCTCTTTACAAGTGAAGCCACCACATAAGGGAGCAAAACAAAAATTCAAGATATACATTTATCTCTACACAGAATCTTGCTATTCCGAATTGTGTCAATAAACTCAGTTATGTTTCCCAAGAACATTCACATTTGCCTTCCCAGTCGGGCTGGACACCAAACTGAGGAAGATTGCTTTGGACTAATCCAGGGGTGGGGAACCTTGGCTCTTCTATGACTTGTGGACTTCAACTCCCAGAATTCCTGAGCCAGCATGGATTAGTCTAATGTTCCATATTCAGAAATGAAATATTTGGATTGATCCATGAGAGAAATAGCAGGGCAGGGCAAAAAACAAAGATGCATAGACTGCAACCACTGTCTGAGCTATGATAGTCTTGCTTATTTGCAGGATTTTTTGCTGGGGTTGGGAGGTGGGTTTGCACCAATTTCCTGCTGATTGGCAAAATAGTCACTGATTATGATTCTCAGTGCCGTTACTGACCGGTGTGGGTAGATTAATAATTGCTTAAAGTTACTCTTCACAACCTCAAGCCTATAAACATATGGACAATAACTTGCCCGAAAGCATTTTCAATCTGTGTAAATTATGGGGACAAAGTGGGGGGGATGTTAATTGGTTTTGAAGTGTATTGGAATTTATTTGCAAATTAGTAGGCTGCTGGCAGCATTCATTAACTATAAGCAGTCATGGTTGTACCAATTAAATAATGGCACATTTTTATTGTTTATTTGAATTTATTAAACTCCTATGGACCCTGGGTGATGTACAAAACTGGATAAAAGCATAAAAACAGATAAAAACACCAAATCAGAAGGACAATCCAGACTGAAATTATCTTAGAAACAGCAAAAGCAAAGAAAACGCCGGCGCTAGACAAATAACCCCAAATCCTAAATCCAGGTTTTTAAAAGCTTTCTAAAATCTAGAACTCCATTTTTTGTCAATATCGTGTGATTTATTTTCCACTTTCTGAATTTTTTGTTCATTTTTAACAATCATTTGTTGGTGGACTTCAAATTGTGTCTTTGTATCTGACATTTGTTCGTTTAATTTATCAAAATTACTTTTTGTCTCTTCATGGTTTTTTTGTATTGATTCTTGAATTAATTTTAATGTAGTTTGCATCTTGTTTTGAACAGTGCTTATTTTCTCATGCTGCAACATTGTTTCAATAGATCCGTGGCTTGTTGGGCTGGATGTTCCAACAGAGGGTGCATAGGAAGTTTTTTTCATAAGTCTGGTGAGTTTTGATGCACTCATTTTTCAAGCCAACTATCCTAGGCTAAAATCCAAACTATAAAAAGAGCCAACTACTTTAAGCTAAATCCAAATTATCAAGGAGGGAAAGCAAGGTTAAAAAAAGCAAGAAGAAAAAAGGAAAAATAGCCAACTGTCTTAGGCTAACATCCAACCAAAAAAATCGAGCCAACTACTTTAGGCCATATCCAATCCTCCAGTCAAATCACAGATGTGAAACGCCCACTGTTTCCAAATAATTCCTGTTTTGGTTATATCCAGAGTCAACAGATATAATTGTAGAAAGTCTTTTCTCTTACAAACTCACATAAAGGCTCTTTGTTTATACCAGGTGTTGTTTCAAGATCAAACACTTTTCAAATTCTTTTATTTGGTATTACTGTAATATCTCATTTCACCACTAGATGTCGTCATACACTGTTTTGTCAATATCTGGTTTTAAAAGATTGTTACAAAGTTTTTCAAGTTCTTTGCTAGTTATTTACCCTACAAATTAAATCTAAAAAAAAAATCCACATCCTCTAAATTAAGCAGTCTTTCTTTGAATCAATCTGAGTTCAATTTTTAAGAATTCTTTTGTCTTCCTTAAAATCCTTTCCCCTCCTCTAATTGCTCACCGCTTTTAACTCTCTTCTCCCCTAGTCCTTCTGGGGTCTTTACTTCATAGCCTTTTCCCAATCAGGGGATCAATGTTTCTAACTCCATAAAGAATAAAAGGACAGGCTTGCCCAGTTTCAGCACACTCTTGGCAATCAGCTGTTTAGCGGAGCACCGCAGGTCGCTTTTCTTCTGGCTGGTGATGATTTGGGTTGTTTGGGCTTACCAGGCAGCCTTTCTTCCATCCTTTTGGAAGGTTTCTTCAGTCCGTCTGGACCAACTGCCATCTGGTCCAGACTCCTGAAGCATCCCTCCTTCTTCATTGCCCCTCCAGGGCAACGTTCTGACCCTTTGGGGTCACCGGGCCGAATAAAATCGGGCTAAGAAGCCAGAGCCCTGGGTTCTTCCACCCGTCTTGTCAAATGCCAAACCGGAAGTCGCTCTGAATGTAATATTAAACAAACAATGTCCTGGAACATTGGAATTTTTCAGTTTATTAGAATTTTGGCTACATCAATATTTAGGTACAAGAAAAAGATAGCAATGCTTGGCTGGTAAAAATTGCAGCACCTGCTGCAAAATCTTGGACTTAAGAAATATGTTCACTTTTAGCCTTTGAACTCTTAATGGAAAAACTGATCAATAAGATTCCAAGACATTGTCAGTCATAATTCAATTTGTTGTTGAAACGGTGATTCACTTTACAATGGAATTGCATTATACAGATACATTGTGATGTATTTTGTTTTACTTTCCTTTTAGTGCATGTTAATTTTTTTCTTCTTTTTCTTCTTTTTCTTGTACTTTAATATATACAAATAATAATTACATTTTTAAAAAAGTTAGAGGGCAATAAGTTGAAGAAGGCTGGTTCATGGCAAACTGGAGATACCTTCAAGTGTGTTTTTAGAAACTATTGGAAGCTACTTGCATGCATTTAAGCTTCTTACAATTTAATGCAATATGTATCTTTAATGTAAAAAAATGAAGCAATTGCTCTATTTTGCACAGAATTAGATACACTTGAGTGTACTCATTTCAGAAATGAATTACATTTGCCTAACAGGAAGAAGTGCATGTAGGTGTGAGATTTTTGACTCAGCTGCTGGGAATACACTTTATTAAACTCGGGGATGTCCTTTTGAGTTGATACATATAGGAGTATAGTGAAAATCCAATTAGTTAAAACCCCTTCTGTGCAATCTGGCATGGACATTATTTCTAAATAGATTTCCAAAATGCCAAAGGACATTTTGTACTTATTAGGAAGCTGCTACTCTTTCTTTAGCGTGTATGTGTGTTTGTATGTTTTTATTTGTGGGTAGACCTATTTAAAAGTGGGCTGATGGTCCAATAAGTTTAAATACTGGTAAAATTTAACATTGATTATGTGGCATCAAGTCAGTGATGATTTTTAGTGACCGTGTAGATAGATTTTCTCTATTATGATTTGCATCTTATGGATATTTCAGATCTTCCAATGGGGTAATTATTACCATTGTAACTGAGTCAGAATTTAACTTTAAACCAACCAAATATACGTAGAGGAACTCATTTAGGATGGAATTTCTTGTACATAATTTCAGCTGTCTTGCTATACAGCACTGAACAATGGCCAATTTTGGAGACCATAGCAGAATCTCCATCGCAGAAATCAGCCTTTGCAGGGATAATAGCAATAGCAATAGCACTAGTACTTATATACTGTTTCATAGTGCTTTACATCCCTCTCTAAGCAGTTTACAGAGTCAGGCTATTGCCCCCCTGGGTCTTCATTTTACCCACCTCGGAAGGAAGGCTGAGTCAACCGTCAGCTGGTCAGGATCGAACTGCTGGCAGTAGCAGAATTAGCCTGCAATACTGCATTTTAACCATTGTGCTACTACGGCTAAGGGACAAATCATTCTTTCTAGCCATTATTAACCAAAGAAGTTGAAGAGAGAAGGTATTCTGGAACTAAGAAAGCCAGCAGGCCACTTTAAGGACAGAAATGAACAATGTCACCTTCATCCTTTCTCTGTTGCCAAAGATTGAAGCTGCTGTGGTAAGACAGTAGGCTCTCTTTCATTTAACGAACAATTACTGTATGTCTTATGTTGACAAGGGGAAATCTGAAATCCTACATAGACTTGACTAGGAACAGGTCTGGGTGAAATAAGTAGGACGGCATTGCAATACATCATAAATAGCATTGTAAAGCTGCTGATGCTTGGAGAGAGTAATGGGGAGGTATTCCTAATGTTTTGGACTGTGGCACTTCTTTTTGTGATCTGGTTTTAAAAGTGGCTGATGGCTAAACCTTGATTAGGATATTTATTTTCATGTCAGCATACTAGTGCCAAATGCTAATGCATTTTACATCCATCTATGACAGGGAATTTCAAGCTGCCAAGTTTTCACTAAAACTGCTGATGCGGAGAAAATTGGCAACGTAGAGAGATGCAGCAAAAATGCCCCCCTCCTTCTTTAAGGCCTTTCCAATGAGGTTGACCAATAGCAGGTATTCTGCCTTTCCACGCAAGCGGGTAGCTGCTTGTCCTGGACAAAGTGCACAGTCAGCAGGAATGTGATCAACAGGAAAACACTTTGGGGTATGTAAGTTTATTTGCTCTTGATATTGTCAAAGCATTTGCTCCCCATTCTCTGTATAAGGGTGCCATCACTTTGAACTAACACCTACATATAATCTGTATCATTGCCAGCTTTATTTCTAGCAAGGAGATTTTTAAAAAAAAAAATAATTAAAGAGACTTTTGGAATTGAGTTTGTTGAAGTTTTCCTCTGTGTGTGCATGTGCGTGTATTAGATTCAGCCGCAGAGACTGCAGTGTCTACGTTTCTGATAGTGATGGGTCCAGCTTAAGCTGTGGATAGTTGCAGGCATTTTGTTCAATTTAAGCTTCCTTTACTGAGGCTATACAGAAACCTTTCTTGATCCGATGCCCTGCAAACACGTTAAGACTTCCCATACTGTAATCCCTGACTCCATAAAGGCTGTGAAGGTTGAGGAATTATAGAAAGCATGAAGTTTAAGCTATCTGAAGGATATCAGGTTCAAGCCAGCAGAATCCTAACTGGCTTGGTGACTCCTGTGACTTTGTAATGCATGCCCGTATTAGGGTTTTTTTTAATGCATGGGCTTATTTATTTCTTGTGTTTAACGAAGACTTCACAATCTTAGAACAAGGAAAATTATTCAAGTGAATAACTCCAATACTAAGTCAAGCTCTGTTGTTAACATCTGTCATTGTGCAACTTTTAATCCCACAGGCAACAAAGCTAAGAAAATATTCTACCTAAATATGGGTGGTAAGGAATAACGAAGTTCCATCATCTGAGATGACACTTGGGTGAGATAGTCTTTCTAAGATTTCCTTGCTATGTACTTCCTATCGTTTTGTTCTTGCCATGGCTCTGTACAGGTAATCCTCCACTTACGAGCACAATTGAGCCCAACATTTTTGTTGCTAAGTGAAACAGTTGTAAAATAATTGTTGTTAAATGGGTTTTTCCCCATTTGACAATCTTCCTTGGCACAATCACTGCAGCTGTTAAGTTCGTAACACAGTTGTTAAGTGAATGTGGTTTCCCCATTGACTTTGCTTCTCAGAAAGTTGCAAAAGGAGATGATCACATGACCCTGGGACACTGCAACCATCATAAATATGAACCAGTTGCCCAGCATCCGAATTTTGATCACATGGCCATGAGGATGCTGCAATAGTCATGTGAAAAAGGGTCATATATCACTTTTTGTCAATGCTGTTGGAACTTTGAACGATCACTAATTGAACGGTTGTAAGTCAAGGACTACCCGTAGTTCTTCTTTCCATAGGGTTCTGGTAAACATTTCATGTTTCATGTAAAATATTTCCTTTGGGATACCACACACAAACACACACACACACACACACACAAAATACACACATCATTGCCCATTCCTTTGAACAGGACAGTTCATTACTTCAGCTACTTGTAAATATGCAAGAAATATAGAAAACATGTTGGTTCTGAGTCAGAGCACTAAATTCAGTCAGACATCTTTTGCAAATGAGCTTGAATGTAAAATCTAGCAGAAACAATCAGAGACACATGAAGAGGGAAAGGCGTGGATTTTATTACATTCTTGTATTAATCTACACAAGTTAAAAATATGTCTTAGTATTAGCAGTAAAAACATACATTACAAGATTACTAAATAGGCCAGAGGTTCCCAACTGTTCCTGTTTGGCAGCCCGGAGTGAAAGGGAGGAGCAAGAAAATTTATGTCCTTAGGCACACATGCGCATACAGGCCGCTCACTTCCCAGCAGCACTAGTGCCTACATGAATGTGCAAACAGCCACGTGCACCCACGGCGCGCTAATGCCCACGCAATGCTGCCGGCGGTGCTAGTGCCCCCGCACATGTGCAAATGGAGCCACTAGCACTCGCGTGCATCTGCAAACATGACCACTAGCACCCTCGCGGCAGCTACCCCACTTGCGGTGTCGCTAGCATGCACTCACCAGCCATTCCAGCAGCCCGGTGGTCACTAGGCCACGGACCGGTACCAGGCCGCAGCCCATAGGCTGGGGAACCCTGAAATAGGTCATGATAAATAGTCACTAAATACACATTTTTATACATTCAGTGGTTAATTAAAAGTGCTTCCTACTTTATTCTGAAACACTGGATTTTGCTACTAGCTTTTTCTGGTTGCTGTTTTCCTATCTTGAGGTAAGTACTCCTTGTTTTTTTTAAACTAGTCTCTAAAAACCAGAGTCCAAAATTCCAGGGCTGTGAAATTCCTGTTGTTTTCTACCAGCTGCTGCAGTGCCCGAGCTTCTCTCTTAGATTGTTCAAAGCTTGATCTCCATACCACAGTTCTCTGCACACTGAGAGGAGAAAAAGTAAATGCTTGAGGACTGGGGCAGCTCAGATGGTTTGCTTCTACTTTCCATCTTCTTGGTAACATTCCCTGATCAAAAGATAAAAGCACAATCTGTGTTCATTTGTTGTAGGGTTTGACAGGTGAGGATTGGTATTCTCCCACTTCAAATACTTTGATCTTCTAGATCTACCATATAGAATTTAGCTTCAGTGTCTAAGGGACAGATGAACCAACTGATAATACCTGATATTGGAATATTAGGCATGAATAACCAAGACAAGAAAGCCAACCTGATGTAGTGGTTAAGGCAAGGGAGGCTGAGTTCCAATCCTACCTTAGGCATAAAGTCAGCTGGATGACTTTGGGCCAGCAATGGCAAACCACTTCCAAGAAAACTGCAGGGATTGTCTTGGAATTGTCCAGAGTCAAGAGTGTCTTTGAACTCATCAAAACATACAAATGAAAAAACCCAAGAGAAAGACTTTTGCCAAGAGCAAGGATGGATGCGTTTGAGGAGAAGGCAATCTTATTCTGTCTCTTCTTCTCATCTTACAAGACAAAATAAACCAGGCAAGGAGCCCTCGCCAATGGATCTCAAAATTTACACAGATACAAAGCAAATATCAAAATGAGAGCTTACAACAATGATCCTTTGATGTATTGGTGGCATATGTCACCAGAGAAATTGTCTAGAATGTATATACAGGTAATTTAAATGCTTTGTTAGAAATATGAACAACAGGAAGGGACATTTTATCCTTCAGATGTACATCCCAAAAGATGGGAGAACAGAGAAAATAATGGACATGGAAGTAAGATGAAGTCAACGTGCTCTAACTACTTTCTACATTTATGGATCACAGAGAGATTCACAGACCTCTTTCGAAGCAATATCTTTCTGCAGGAACTCCGTAATTCTGCAGAATTTGTTTGCCTCTGTTACAGTGATTCTGCTTGAAAATCAAAAGCTGCAGTTGACTTAATGATGACAAGTCACTAAGGCAGGGGTAGGCAACCTTGGCTCTTTTAAGCTGAGCCAGTCTGGGAGTTGAAATCCATGAGTCATAAAAGAGCCAAGGTTGTCTACCCCTGCACTAAGGAGAGACATATTTATACTTACCTTCGCTTGCCTCCTGATATTTTCCCATACCCTGGTGCACACCATGCACTCAAAGGCATCTATGTAGTTGTCCTTCATAATATCTTGCACTCCCCATGTGCGTTCTTTGATAACAGCAAGCAATTGTTTGTTGGAAATGTCACCTTTCAACTTCCATTCAAGGTAGGCCAGATATTCCTTGTCATCTGCATCCAAAGCTTTGATATACTGAGCCAAGTCCCTTGGGTGTGGAAAATCTTTGATGAGAATGGCACTCTTGTTGCTTGGAAGCCAGTCTTGAACAGTGGGAGAGCCATAATAAACAGGCACCACTCCCAGCTTTAAGGGCCTCCAGAGTTTTTCAGTGATATAATCTTCACAGACAGAGTTCTCAAAAGCCAGGACGAATTTATACTGAGCAAGTATTTTGTAAAAACTATCGCTGTCCATGGATGATGGATTTTGGAGATGCTCTGGAAGATCTCTATTATGCAAACAAGCCCCGTAGGAATCAATTTCAATGTGAGCCATCAGCTCCTTTATGTAACTGTCTCTGTCAGAGGGAGGATCACAATCAGATTGTACATAGACCAGCGGCGCAAGTCGCTTCCGCAAGCTGTTCTTTTTTTGCAAAGAAACTGTGTACTTCAAGGACATCAAGGCCTTAATACTTTCAAGATACTGGGTGGTAAGCGATAGGTGTGAGTGGCGGCTGAAAGTGGCTGTGTGGTTGAACAAAGTGATGGTAGGAGCTTGGAAAAGTTTGTAGTTGTTTTTGGGGGACTCCTCGTGAAAAAGAGCCCAGTCATGGAAGTCTGCACGGGGCAAAGGTAAGCTGTGTATGCTGAAATCAGTACCTGGGTGTTGAAAAACATAACATATTCCTTTTAATTAAATTCAGTGGACTTAGTTGCACTTTCTTCAATAATATAAATATCACTATCAAGGTAAAGTGATCATCGCCAATAAAGCAGATATTCTCCAATTGTAAGAGTCATATTAATACAGTAGTACCTTGGTACTCATTGTTAAGTGGTTCCGGGAGGCACGATGAGTTCCAAAAATATGAGTGCCAAACAAATTTTCCTATAAGGAATAATGTTGTGAATCACAAGGCAGCTAACATCAATTAATTCCAGCTTATGTGCCAAGCACCAAATAAAGAATGGGTACTGGGACAAAAATTTTGCATCAAAATGCTTTGAGTATCAAATTCGATAAGTTTCAAAGTAGTTGAGTACCAAGGTATCACTGTATTAATTGGAAATTGCATCAGAATGACAGATTTGAAGTAGAACAAAAATCTACTTTTGGGGGGGAGAAAAAAAAAACTAAGAGGAGGAAGAGATCTGGAAATAACCCAATCAGGACTTAGCTTGCTCACTCTTTCACCCATGTTAACACAGATGTTTGGTAATACAACGTCCATTCCGGCAACCCAAAACCTTCATTTTCCTTAGCATCTTGTAATCTTTTCATCTTAATTCTAGCTTTCCCCCCCCTGCCAAATAAAGTTCAAAACCAATGAATTTAAATCTTGAAAGAATTTTCTCTCAAGTTTTATCGGAATCGTTTGAAATAGAAATAAAATCTTCGGCAACACATTCATTTCTACTGTAGCAATTCTTCCTAATATTGACAGCTGCAGATTTTTCCATCTTTCCAAGTCTAGCTTTATTTGCTTCAATAATTTTGTATAATTGTCTTCTTTTATTGACGAACACTTAGCTGAAAGATGAATACCTAAATATTTAACTTTTTTCACTATTTGTACCTCTGTTTTCTCTAGTATTTGCCTTTTTTGTTTATCTGTGATGTTCTTTATTATTACTTTGATTTTTTCTTTATTTATTTTTAGTCCTGCCATTTCTCCATATTCTTCTATCTTTCCCCATAGTTTAGGAATCATCTCTAAAGTTTCTTCCAAGATAAACACTAAATCATCAGCAAATTCTTGTAACTTATATATTTCATCTTTTATTTTCAATCCTTTAATTTCTGTGTCCTGTCTTATCCTTCTATTTAGTACTTCCAAGGTAAAGATAAATAATAATGGAGATTGTCTTGTCTCGTTCCTTTTCTTATCTCAAAACTCTCAGTATAATCTCCATTCACTATCACTTTTGCTCTCTGGTTGGTTGCTATATGTTGTTTTTATCATATTTGTAAAATTCTTTCCAAAATCCATTATTTGTAATTGTTGAACCATAAATTGCCAGGAAACATTATCAAATGCTTTTTGGGCATCTAAAAACACTAATGCTAATTGTTTCCCTGGATATAATTCATAATATTCTAATACGTCCATTATCACCCTTAAATTGTTTTTGTCTCTTCGGTAAAAAGCCATTTTGATCTGGATATATAAACTCAACTAAGTATTTTTTCAGTCTCTCTGCCATTATTGAAGTAAAAATTTTGTAATCCACATTGAGTAATGAAATCGGTCTATAGTTCTTAATATACGTCAAGTCTGAATCTTCTTTTGGTATCAAAGTAATATTTGCTTCTATCCATGTATTTGGAAGTTTGGCCTCTAACAATAATCCATTACAAACATCTTTCAGTGGTTCGCTTAATGTATCTTGTAGATTTTTATAAAGCTCTGCCGGTAGCCCATCTGGGCCTGATGTTTTCCCATTCTTTCGTCGTTTTATAGCCTCTAATATCTCCATCATTGTTATTCTTTCTTCTAACATAGTTTTGAATGTCTCTGGAGTTTTTGGCAATTTACTTTCTTCTAAATATTGAGCAATTCTCTCTTTTGCAGCCTCTTCTTTGCCATACAATTCCTTATAATATTTCTTAATTATCTTTTTTATTTCTTCCTTTTAAAATTGTAAACAACCTTTCCCATCTACTAAGTTATGTATTATTTTCTTCTCTTTCTGTTTTTTGAGCTTATAACCTAGCCATCTTCCTGGAGCGCCCCACAATTATGTGGCCATGATTTCACACCAGTTTCTAGTGTTTTTTTTTAATTAATTTCTGGCAAAAAAAAATCCCACCCATTCAGAAGAATGGTTTTGCACTTACAATCACATGCAAAAAATGTCATAAACTCAGGTCCAGCCACATAGGTGCTTCCTCTTATGAGCACGGTGACCGATGACCAGAAATCCTGTCCTAATAGTAATCATAAGTCAAGGACTATCTAAATCACCATATTCCCAGTTGGTTCCACTCTTTTCTACATACAGAAATCAATATGTAAATTACGCAAGAAAAGGGGGCGTAAGAGATTACTCAATAGCCCTTTCAAAACTTTAGCCATTCCCTTACCGTAAAAAAGAAAGGCTCTAGTCATAGGATTGTGTTGGTAAGTCCTGTTAATGGTAAAGAAGCAAATATCCTCGCCACACTGAGCCTGCCTTCCAGATTCTCCTGTGAGTGGAGACCACCACAGCAAGATGGGATACGTGCCTTTGTGCAATTTCTTTCTTGTACTGTGGTCAGGTTTTGGCCGTTCGAAAAACAGAGGATATTTCTGTAACTCATCTTCTCTGGAAGCATCGTTTCGTAAAACTGAGTTTTGTGAGGTCAACTGTTCAGACCTGCCCAGTTCTACAACCACCTTTTGAAAAACAAAGGAAAATCAGGAATTACAGAAGGCTTAAGAAATAAGGCATGAAACCTTATGCATGGATATTGATTTGAAATGGGCTTAGACCAGTGGTTCTCAACCTGTGGGTTGGGACCCCAGTTGGGGTCGAACGACCATTTCACGGGGGTCGCCAAACAAGGCTGTCCGCCATTTTTTCCCCCTTTTCTTTGGCCACGCCCCTGGCACCCGGTGATGTATAAGTGGTTGGGGACCACCACAACATGGGGAACTGTATTATGGGGTCGCGGCAGTTAGACTTTCTAACAAAAGCTAGTTTGGTGGAGTGATTAAGGTACCAGACTAGAAACTGGGAGACTGTGAACACTGGTCCCGACTTAGGTACAAAGCCAAGTGGGTGACCTTGGACTAGTCCCTCTCTCTCAGCTCTAGGAAGCAGACAATGGCAAGCCACTTTTGAAATGTGCCATGAAAACTGCAGGGACTAGTCTAGGCAGTCACCAGGAGTTATCACTGACTCAGAAGGAACAACCCACCCACCCACACACACACACACACTGTTCTAACACATACTCAGTGAGCCTATGATAAGCATATTATTTCTGAACTGTGAACTTACTCTATCCATATATTAGTCATATCAGACTGTCGCTCTCTAGTCTGTGAAGCTCCTTTCTTCATGGTTTCCATAAAATCTTTAAAAGATGATTTTATTTAATCAGGCTTTCTAATGAATTCTACCAAAATTTTTGCTGCCATTCATACTGGGAGAGGGTTGACTTCTTATTTGTACTTTTTGTTTATTCTTTTGTTCCATTTATAATTTTAAGTCTTTCGAGGGGGGCAGGCTATAAAAACTGCAAAATAAACAACCAAGCAACCAAACTTACAAAAAACAGTTTTATTCAAAAACTTCTAGGATGCTTGTTTCCTTCTAGCTTTTATTTCCCTTGTCTGTATACCATGATCTATCCCAGTGTTTCTCAACCTTGACAATTTTAAGGCATGTGGACTTCAACTCCCAGAATTCCACAGCCAGCAATGCTGGCTGTGGAATTCTGGGAGCTGAAGTCCACATGCCTTAAAATTGTCAAGGTTGAGAAACACTGATCCTGTTCTCCAGATTCCCCATCCTTGGTGTAATATTTCTAGAGGGCTGAAGGTACTAACACAGAAGCTAGGAAGTCTGTTACTCCCATCTCATCTGGGTTGAAGCCTACAAACAGCAGATCATAAATTTAATTTCATTATAACACTTCATATAAAAAAATGTAGCTTCCCACAGGACCCATTTGGAGGAATTCTGACGCATTTCAGAGTTACCTCTGATCTGCCTTCTCCTTTTTAACTGCATCAGTTCAAGAGTCTTGCAAGAGGAACCAAGCTGTGACATTATAAGATAGAATAATTCATGACAGCAGAACCAGAATAATGAGAATGAGCGTATTCTTTTAGTCACGGAAAATGACTTGCTCTGTATTTTCTATTCTGCGCATACAGGTATTCCTCAACTTATGACCATTAATTGAATCCCAAATTTCTGTTGCTAAGTGAGACAGTTGTTAAGTGAATTTTTCATCGTTTTACAAGCTTCCTTGCCACAGCTGTTAAGTGAATCCATGCAGTTGTTAAGTTAGTAACACGACTGTTAAGTGCATCTGACTTTGCTTGTCGCAAAAAGTGATGACATGATCCTGGGACACTGCAACCGTCATAAATATGAACCTGTTGCCAAGCGTCTGAAATTTGATCATGTGACCATGGGGATGGTGCAACAGTCGTGTGAAAAATGGTATAAGTCAATTTTTTCACTGCCTTCAAACGGGCACGAAACAAATGGTTATAAATCGAGGACTACCCGTATTGTTTTTTTACTGGTGAAAACCAAGCAGTACTGAGAGACCAGTGGAAAGGAACGGAGATTTGGAGAATTGGGAAAGCACATAATTAAACCCGAAGCACCAGGCTGAACCCCAAAGTTGATATGGCAATGTCCCCATTCTCTCTCCTAAAGTTTTACATCACGTAGCTATTCCTTCCTCTCTTGGGGGCATTTCTTAATATATTCTCAGCTCCATCCCAAGGATCTTTGGTACCTGGAAAGTGATCAGGAGAAAAAAGGAAGCCATAAAGCAGAAGCAAGACGCCCAAAATCTTTTCTTCTTAATTCTTTTCATGCCTTATGATCAGGCATACAAACTCTTCCTGTTTGGGGCTCAGGGATCCTTAACATGTCCAATAACTGGTCCAATGTATTTTCCCTAGAAATCCTTGTTCTTCTCGACTGTGGTTACTGGTGGGAGAAGAAGTGCCATCAAACCCGAGTCGATCCTCGACCTTGTATTACTGTAGCTTCCTCAATCAGGGATTCCTTGGGATTAATGCACTGCTAAATGAAAAGATACAGTTCAGAAATACGTTCTTCAATCTATGTTGGCATATTGCTAGGAATCAGTTCCCAGTCTTCCTGATATATGTGTATGATCACATCCCCATCAAAAACTTTTGAGACTCACATAAACCAAGAGTTAGCAACACTGTGTGTGGGTACTATGGCACATGTGTTCCTCCCCAGGCGGGACCCACAGGACCCCAACATAAATACAAATTATTTAAGGCCCAAAGCTTTTGAGACTGCCAAATCTCTAGAATATTAGAAGGACAAGCCTGTCGTTATTTTAATTAAATTAAATTAAATTTAATTTGAAGATATTTAGCAATAGTGGACTGCAAGCACAAATTGGGAACTATTGTTCTACATTGTATTTCCATTCAAGTGTAACAAGGATAATGTGTTCTTTAGTATATGAAAATTTAAATAGGCTAGAATAAGATTTCACGTATGGAATTTAGCTAAGAAATTTTGTCTTTCTGCAGAAAATAATGTATTCAGTAATTATTGTAAATCTTTGAGGCAGTGAACAGAAGCAATATGCTTTGTTCTATAGAGTAGATACAATAATGCTACATAATATATGCAAATTCACATTCATTTGCATCACAAAATTTGCATAATTGTAGGAACTGATCTGAGGCATCTATAATTTTCTTTTTTAAAGCAAAAAACACACATCAAATATATAATTTCTAAGGCCTAATGGAAGTGTAACAAGACAATTATAGAATCTCTTTCTCAGAAGTCTTAAGGATAATATTAGCACTAATGTTTTATCAAGGTTTGTAAGGTTTTTCCTTGAAAGATGAAGGGAGGTTTGATCTGAATAGAAAACCCTTCCAGGAACAACTTCGCCTTTCCAAAAACAAAAGTCGTCTCTGCTTCTCCCTTTAAATAATAGTGAAGAAACGTTAAAACAAAAGCTTAGAACTAACAGAAGCTTTAAACTGCATGCTATTGTAAAAGCTTTTGCTATAGGAAAATAAAAAAAAGTTTAAAAATTAAAAGGGGGAAATGGTTGAAGCCGCTTGTGCTAAAATAGGCCCAAAGTTCTTTCTTTTCTCCTTTTGTTAAAACACGAGAGGCGGGCCTGTAACATTGCATTGGTACTTTTAGTTCAGAAGAGTAAATGTTACGTTTCCCTTTTATTTGTTATCTTTTGGCTCGTTTCCAACTGCAAATGCCTCATTGCATCGCAGAACTCGAAACCAAAAGTAAACCGAATAAAGACAGTCTTTCTTTTTAAGATCTACAGGCGCCTTTTTATGTCTTTTGCAGATGTACAAAACCAACAGGAAAACTATCGCAATGCTTCCCATAGGAAATAAAAATACTCACCCAAGTCCCCGTTCTTCTTCCTGGTTGTGGCGAGACGCTTTTTTACTTTCTATTTGTGCCTCTACTTCCCTTGGGTCGACAGCAAACTCTGCAGCGGATCGCAGCGCTCCTCTCCCAATAACATCCCTACGGAAGATCAATTGGGAGAAGCAGATCCCGGGATCCACCTTCCAGAGTTCTCCGAATCCCACTTTGGAAAACAACGTTCCTGGGTTTGTGTGAAGGAAAAGTTGGTTTGATCACGCTCACGGTGGCATCGTTTCAACGGAGAGACCCATCTCTTTCTGAACGTCCCGACCGAAAGGATCTCCGTCAAAATGAGGGGGGGGGGGTTAAATTTGGCAGCTAATTTATGCGGCTTTTAGGGGAAGGTTTCGAGCTTCCCGTTTTGGGAGCGCATTTTTTAAAAAAATAAAATAGCGATCGCGGATTCCACAGCCGTTTGCAACCCGCTTGCCAACTCGCTTTAGCATAATGCAGCAGTCAGAGCTGCGTCAGACACATTCGCACGCTGCCCGAGAGTTTATTTTTTAAAAGGCTTAAGGTGAATTAATTGCGTAGGTCACGTTACAAAACTTTTAACATTGTTTTTCTATTACAAATAAGTGCCCGCTGCCGTTGATCATTCTTAGACAGATTGCATCCGACTGCAAAAACTGCTTATGACCACAAGATGGCGGTGAAGACATGATACCTAGTACTCTCACTCGTTGCTGCCATCTACTGATCAGATGGAGGAGAGCACCTCCACCATATTTCACCCAATACTTCAGAGTTGAAGAGAGGATCATTACATAACATCAATTCTCTTCCGCATTTTACTTTATATTCTCCACTTTTAGCTACAACTATAGACCAGTGTGGAGAAACTTGTGGGCAAGGATTAAAACCTGTGTGCGTAGAAGAGGGAAATCAAGGTTCTAGCCCACATTCAGCCACTCTCTCTGTTTGTCTACCTCATGGGGTTGTTGTGGACAAAAGTAAGGGTCATGAGGCGGTGCCACCTTGATCTTCAGAACCGACCAATGGATCACACAGCTAACTAATTACATAATTAATTGCCTAGATAGGCAAAATCAACCTGGCAATTATATCAAATTCTCATGGGCAGGAATTTCAATGGAGGAAGCCTGTATCTTCACCTTGCTAAGCCAACCTTAGGCTTCTTTTGTCATATTTGCCTGCTTTTCCACATCAAAATGGCAGTCAATCGTATCGAAAGAGACTCCAGGAAAGAAAAAGGCAGGTTCAGGGGCTACTTATGGCCCTGAAACCAGGCTGCTCAACCTTGATCTTTGTTTTTAAGATCATATATTTCCTCTTGCATTAACTTTTCTTCTATTAATTTAAAGTCCAAGCCAAAAGTTATTCCTTGAATTGACTGATAACATATACAGAACTTTATTATTTCTCTAAGAAATAATAATTTAGTTTTTCTGTAGCCACATTCAAACACAATACCTCTCTGATACTAATAATATACTTTTAAAAAAATTTTATACCTGAAAAAAGATGCTGCTGCTTTAATGAATCACCATGAACAACAGCATATTTATTGTGATTCTTAAAAGGCAATTTATTTTTAAATTTCAAAATCTGTTGCCAAGCTTGCATTAGCCTAGGCCTGATGCATATCTTCTAAATTATTTCGAAGTGTGCACTTTATCTTGCAGAATACACTGTTAACAATCAGCAGTTATAAGTCTTTTTTTCATTATAGAACTACAAGATGAGTGGCATTTAAAATAAATAAATAATAGTTTATTTCAACTTCTTTTGTTCATGAAAAATTGCAGATGTTTATTTTGTAAAACTGTGGATATCATGACAAAGGAGAAAACGAAGGATGAAATTGGCACATAACTTTCAATTACTGTATTACCGTAGTTACACCATGAAGCTAAGCTAAAATCATATTAGACCGCATGAGTCATTGAGAAAACTAGCTTGAAAAATATAAATTCAACATGAATAAAAGTGTAGTCTGTATATATTGTAGATGCTAAATGTGAAACTATATGTGATTGTTTTGAATAGGGGAGATATCGGCTTGATCAAATGTGTTTTTGTGGCTGCTGTCTAGTTTTAAACACTCAAAAGACACTTTGATATGGTGAACTAAGTGGTATTCTTTTTTTTTTATTGAAAATTTTTAAAATTTTTACAAGAAAAAAAAAAACAACCCTCCCAAACCCACCCCAGCCCTCCCATTCCCTCCCTCAGCCTTCCCAGAGCTGAATATAGGCTTAATTAAAGTTTCTTGAATTCTTAAAAAAAAAGTATAAACCATAGATAAGTCTAAATACATTACTTAAACTAATAGAATAATTAACAATAATATATATATATAAAAAAACATAAATATTAAAGAAAAGAAAAAAAATACTTAAAAAGAAAAAAAATAAAGAGAAAGAAGAAAAGAAATATAAGAAAGTAAAATAATAATAAAAAATATAAAAAGAAAGAAAAAATAATACAGTCTATAAAATATTAAAATTTATATATAAGTTATTGAAAAACTAAATAATACTTTTTTATATCCAACTTATATTGTATAAAATCTATCCATTTTTCCCATACCACAAAGAACTTCTCTTGCGATTGATCCTTTAAAAAAGCCGAAATCTTTGCCATTTCTGCCAAATAGGATACTTTGGAAAACCACTCTTGCAAAGTAGGCAAAGATTCCTTCTTCCAATATTGCCCTACTAACAACCTTGTGGCTGTAATTAAATTTAACATCAATATAACCTCCTTAGTATCACAATCGGTAATAATACCTAGCAAAAACAATTGTGGGGTAAATTTTACCCTCCTAAAAATTCTTTGAATATTCCACCATATCTTAATCCAAAAGGCTTTTATATTTTTACACGACCACCAAATATGGTAATAAGTAGCGTCCAAACAACCACATCTCCAACATTTGGGCTGTAAGTCAGGATACATACGAGACATTTTTTGTGGATCAAGGTGCCATCTATAAAACATTTTATAAAAATTCTCCCTTAAGTTCTGGGCTTGTGTAAATTTAACATTTCTCACCCAGATGATTTCCCAGGTATCTAGTAGAACTGGTTCACCAAAATTTTGTGCCCATTTAATCATACATTCTTTAATTAATTCTGGTTCTGAGCCCAATTCTACTAGCAACCCATTAATTCTCTTAATATGAGTTCGTCTTTGATCTTTTACTTGTTTAACAAAATTTTCATCTTCTCTAAGCAAGCCCACATTACGATCTATCTTCCATCTGTCCACTATTTGTCTGTACTGAAACCATGAATATATAATATTTTCTTGTGCTAAATCTTCCAAAGATTTTAACTGCCAAATTTTACCATCCCATCTAAGCAATTGTGCATAAGAAACACTATCCATCTTGACTCCTCTCCTTATCCCCTCTATCTCATGCCAAGGTATAGCCCATAATGGTATTTTAGAATCACTTCTGTAATATTTCCTCCAAACCCGAAGTAAAGAAACCCTTATAATATGAGATTTAAAAACCCGGTCAACTTTTTTATTAAAAATTAAATAGGCATGCCATCCAAAAAGTAAATCCCAACCCTCCAAGAGGAGTATTTCTACATTTGTTAAATTAACCCAATCACTAATTAATGTTAAAACCACAGCATCATAATACAATTTCAAATTTGGTACCTTGAATCCACCTCTCTCACGAATATCTTGTATAATTTTAAGCTTTACTCTTGGTTTTTTCCCTGCCCAAATGAATTTATTGATACCTTTCTGCCATTCATTTAAGTTGACCTCATTCTTTAAAATAGGTATCATTTGAAATAAGAAAAGGAACTTAGGCAGGACATTCATTTTAATCGCCGCAATTCTTCCCAAAAGAGATAATTGCAACTTCTCCCAATTTTTCAAGTCTCTTTGTATCCTGACCCACAACCTTTCATAATTATTTTTATACAATTTTACATTAGAGACAGATAAAGTAACCCCCAAATATTTTACCTTATCAACAACCTCAAAATCTGTCAAATTAACCAAAGTCTGCTTATCCATATTAGTCATATTTTGGGGTAATATTTTGGTCTTATTGTTATTAATTTTAAAACCCGAAACCCGTCCATATTGGTATATCAATTGTAATAACTCTACTACGGAGTGAGTAGGTTGGGACATAAGTGGTATTCTTTGATATGGCAAACTAAGAATGAAAATAGATGAATAAATGAATGCTTTGGGACATTTATCTCATTTTATATGGACAGGAGAAATAGAATTTTGCTAAAGTTCTACTCTATTTTAATGTGGCTAATTATACACATGCTTGCTTTGCTTGTATTAATCAAGGTTGTGTTAATTAAGGTTTTAATGCTTTTTTGCTTTAATGTATTATTTTTGTTCCAAGCAATCCTTTTTAGAGCAATATATGAAACTTTTTATAAATTAAAATAAACTAGAATTAAGCATTTCCATATCCTGTCTATATTTCAGAGACAAATATATAAATCAATGACAATGAAAATAAGTGGAGCTCAAAAGAATAATGTCCTCAGCAGTGATTGAAATACAGAACTCCTCATTTCAACCCTTACAAACATGATAATGATGATGTTATCCATTCAGTCATGTTCGACTCTTGGTGATGTTATGGGCCACGTCTCTCCACATCTTCCAATCTTGCACAATTTCTTTGAGTTTTTCTATGCTCTGGCTAATGTCAGCTTTGATGGAGTCCAGCCATCATGTTCTTTGGCAGCCTGGTTTCCTTTTATAGCTGACTCTTCCCAACATAACTGCTTTCTCTAGTGAATTCCTCCGTATGACACAGCCAAAATAAGTGAGATGCAGTTTTGTGATTTTTTTTCCTTCTAGTGACATTCTCTTTTTCTCTGTGTGTCTTTACAAATAATGTAAATATGAGCCAATCATATATTAGTACTAGTGTAAGGATTACTGGATTACTACAGTAATGTGTAGGAAATATTTTGTAAACTCTAAAGTGCTACAGAAGTGCAAGATGGCATTCTAACTGTTGAGATTACAAAAAATATGACCCTTTATGTTTTTAAAAGGAATTTGCTAAAAGAAACCTCTTTTCCAACTGTTCTGGCATGCTTCAATCCTAGAAGAAATTCATAGTGAAAGCTTTTATTATACAATTCTCTTCTTCCATCCAGCATTGATTGTATTATTCTTAGGGACAACTAATTTCATTTTACTGAGGGGACTGGTAGTCTCTTCTCCTGAGATTACTGTCTAGTCCATGGATGGGCAACCTTGGCTCTTTTATGACTTGTGGGCTTCAACTCCCAGAAGTTGGCTCAGGAAGTCATAAAAGAGCCAAGGTTGCCTACCCCTGGACTAGTCAAACAAACATTGTTCCACCAGGCATAGCCATGCTACATACACCCTACACCCTATCATGTTTTTGGATTAAATAAGTTATATAAAGACTAAGAAACAAACTAGGTTTTGTTCTGTTTCTTTAATTGGCTAATTAAAAGGTTACAAATTTGTGTATCTAAGGTTTGATATGTAATTATAATGGTAAGCACCCAAAATTTGATGATTACAAAATTAATCCTAGCCGAAGAGAAGGAGAAAGAGGGAAGGGAAACGTGGGAAGGGAGGAGTCTCTTAAGACAGATGTTCAGGTCCCTATGTTTTTACCTGAACTAAAAAGGGGAAATTGAAAGGACTTCTTCAGCACCATCTTTCATATCTGAGCCCGTTCCTTTCTTTGTTCTTTACCCCATTTCTCCATACAGAAGATGACCTTGTTTTCTGACTTTCTTCATTTGTGCTATCATCTTGCGTTAACTTGATGTCAGTGTTTAGTTACTGGCTATATATTTCAGCAACCTGTATCAACTCAGCTGCCAAAATATACACCGAATGAAAGGAAAAAAAGCTTAAAGGAGGGGTTATGTTTTTTAAAAGTTACACTGCAGCAAAATTAAGTTTTATGCTTAATGTTGCTTTTTTGGCAAAACAAAGCTTCATGGTATATTTCTAGAAGAATAAATGAAATGTAACCCTTGCAGCCACGGTATGAGATAGCATAGGCATAGGATGGTGTTGTGGGTGACTTGTTAGTACCTGAATGGGAGTCTGCATCTCTCCTGGGCACATGTGAACTGTCAATGATCTTCTGTGCCTTCCACTATGTATCCTTTTCTTTCTAGACGTGTTCAGGCCTGCTTATGGAATGCCCTAGGATTTGTTCTCTTCCCCCTACTTTTTATAATCTACATGAAAACCCTAGGAGAGGCCATCTGTCACTTTGCCAGCCCAATCATTTTGCAGAGTAGGGATCAGCAATGAGGGCAGCATTTATGTGGCTTTGGTTTTCTGTGTGCCAGGATAGCACTTTATCTCAGGCATCTTGAAGAGTCCAAGGAGGCCTGGAACATCTTTCCCAGAAGAAAATTTGGGAACAGAGGGCAAATGATGTCACATCTTCCAAATGGAAAAGGTTTTCACTCCAAAACATAAGGTTTATAATGTCGTTTTCTTACTATCGGGCACATACATAAAAAAATACAATGGCATTACCGGTAGCAGCTTTGACGGCTTTGGGGGGGGGAGGGCAGTTATGAAAATGAATAATGCTGTGCAGCTCCCCCCCCCATTTTTCTTATGGCCTGAACCAACATTTACTGAAGAGGTGAACTGCGCAGTCATCAAAATAAGCAGAAGGACACCGCAGTAGTTGGGCGCTGAGCTCATCTATGAACAAGTTGCGTTTACCAACAGGTCGAGATATAACCAATATTTTACGGAGAGGCTAGGAAAAACAAGCAACTACGATTTTTGCGGTTCTGAGTCTAAGATCTCTCCTGGCGGGTTAAATTAGCATGTACTAGGGAGAAATGCCAACAAAACCTCAGAATTGCTCTCAAGGGAGGCACCGGGACTCTCTATATAAGCGCAGAGCGTACGCAGAGCTTCTCGCCCTGCCTTACAACACAAGAACCGGCTGGGGCAAAAGCGCGTCCGCGTGGGATCCCTAGACGCACTTCCGCCGTACAGCCGGCTGCAACTCTATGGTGCAGGAGGGATGGCCGTTTGTTTCTCATAGGCTCCTGCAGGTTTGGTTTCTTCCGGGGTGGGCGGAGGCGTGGACGAAGATGGCGGACGAGGAAGAGAGGGGGAGCTCAGAGGTTTACACCCTTCGGTTGGGAACGGAGACCGAAGCCGCGGGAGACGGAGAGCTGCTGGAGTGCGGAGAACCCTTGGACTCCATCGGCTACGTGCTGTACAGGTAAGGTTCTCCTCGACCTCGGCAGAGCCGTCTGAGTAGAAGCCGCTTCTCCGGAACTCAGTTAAGCTGATTTAACTTTCAATTGAAGAGAGTCACTCAGGGTTGAACTGTGGAGTTCTTGGTACTCTCTGAGCTCGTTTCATTACCCGAACTTTGCTAGTAATTTGGAGACGGCTTGACGTTTTAGGGCGCCCCTTATGTTGCTCAGTGTCCTTAATTGAGGCATAATTTCATTGCAAGGAACTTCACTTTGGATTGGGCGGCGTTAGTAGCCATCTAAATCAAGTAAATAGTCTCCCTTTCGGAAATGTGGGGAGATGAAGGAAGGGTCAAGTCCGCCTAGGAAAAGCAAGCTCCCCTCTCCAGCCATTCATTTTATTCCAAATCTAGGATATCCAGGGATGCTTGTTCAGCATGGAGAAATGTTTTGAATTGAAATAAATGTTGGAAATAAAAACCGCAGTAAATGCTCTTAAAGGAAGCAAACTGTTTTGTGAAGCTTAAATGCTTAAATCCACATCCCAAATATAAATGTCCTGGTCTGGAAATTCTTCATTTTAAATATGTTGGGTCTCAGTTGAGAATGATTTTTGTGACTTGCTCTTTTTTTGCTAGAAACAATTAAATAATGCACATAGATAAATTGGTAGAAATAAAAAACAAATAGGATAACTGATGATCATTGTTTCAATTGATTCTGGATAGTTTTTATATGCTTGTATAATGGTTTTTAACTTGTTGTTATTGGATTGTTTTTACTTGTTGTGAGTCCCCAGAGTCACTTAGATGAGATGTGAGGCTATACAAATTGGATAAACAATAAAAATGAGTACCAGCGCTATCTCTACACACTGTCAATTTTCTTGGATATATGTTATATCAAGTTTATATAGTTGGGTTTTTATTGTTATCCAGCCTCCTGCAACTTGATAGTCTCCAAATGTATTTAGACTACAAGTCCCAGAATTCTCCTTTGTTTAATCCAACATATCAATAAGGTACCTAGTTGGGGAAAAGTTGTGTTTCCTGTGTTTCTGCAGGTAGGGTTCCTTGTGATGATGCAATAATACGTGTTTATAGAGAGCATAGTAATAGGAATGTTTAAAATCTATCAAATTTGTTTTACATAAACATTCTTCTTTCCTAGTTGCAAGTACAATTCTCAGCAAGGAGCTATTCTGTACTACAACATACATGAACAGGTCTTTGATATTTAAGAGATATCCTTGAACTATATATTTCTTTTAAATGTTCTTACATTTGCTACCTGCTGACTGATCTTTTTTTTTTATAGGAACAGGAAAGAATGGGCAGATATTGAGCCAGTTCCTCAAGATGATGGGCCACATCCTGTTGTTCAGATCATATATAGTGAAAAATGTAAGTTTAGAAGAAGCTTGAGAGACCTCTTTTCAATGGTGGGGATAGTCATGGCAAAATGACTGTAAAAATGGTTATCCCTGAATAAACAGACCATCTAAGTTTATCTTCTCACCTGGTTTTACTCTACCTTGTATTTGTTTGGCCCAGAATCTCTCACATTCCAGGCTTTATTGAATTGCAACTCTCAACATCATCATTCAGCATGGCCGCTTGTGTGTGGAGGGGAGGGATTGTAGTTCAATAACAGTTTTATACTACTGTTCCTAATTTGGCTAAGTGTGTCTTTGCTTTTTGGAGACTGGCATTGTTAACTTCATTGTAGTTCTAATTGAGTTGTACTGTCTGACCCATTACTGACCAGTGTAAATTAAAATTACAAATTTTTGCAGGCTTCTGTGGGAGTAAGTTCAGCTGAACATTCTGAGGTTGACTTTGGAATAAATTGTTGTAGGATTTTATAATGGTTCACAAGAATCTGGAATTGTGTAGTGTGTTTTTCATTGGAAGCCAAAGATGAAACAGATGATTAGATCATCAAGACATGAAAGAAACTAAGATTAGAACTATGCTTGTTATAAGCTATTACATGAGGTTGAAGCTAATTAAAAATTGTTGTATCTACTTATGAAATAATCCTAGAAGTTTGAATATCAAACTTTAAAACTCAATTCAGAAAGGTAAGCTGTTTTTCCACCAATTAAATGTTAAGTTTAGAGAAATCAACAGAAGCAGATAATTGTATCAGGAAACAATTATATTGATGAAATGTACTATGTGATACTCAAAAGCATCAGAAGACCCCAGGATTCCCATGCTTTATGCAAATTTACTATTATATAAGTGGTAATTTTTGACCCAGAATTCACTTTATGTGGAAAAAAGAAAGTTACTATGCAATTCCAATTACCTGGAAACTTACCAAGATTTTTTTCTGCCAAAACCACTTGAACATTTTCCCATCAAAACTTTGATGCCTTCACTCTTGCATCAAAGTTGTGGGGTTGTTCTAGTTTTGTGTTCCACTTATTTCCATATGCAGTTGCTATTACTGTGATAATCAAAATGGCCATCAATATTTCATCCAACCTTCTTACCGAGTAGGAAATTGACCTTTGAAAAGATTGAAAAGATAAGAGTAAATGTAGCAAAGGAAAGCCAAAAAATAGCCACAAACTATTTTTTTTCTGCCTAGTTAAAGATGTATATGATTACTTCCGGGCTGTTCTGCAACATGATGAACGGAGTGAGAGAGCTTTCAGGTTAACAGGGGACGCCATTGAACTTAATGCTGCAAACTACACAGTATGGTATGTAATAATCCTGAGAATTTATTTTTTTGTTCTGTTCCAAAATTCCAAAAGAAGACAATTTTAAAATACTGAGGCCATTCAGATTAGTTACAAGCTGCCTTTTGGTGTGACATTTGCAAACTTTTTATTCGTTTGTTACAACTACCCTGTTTCCCTGAAAGTAAGGCCTACCCCCAAAATAAGCCCTAGCTTGATTTTTGGGGGTGGGCCTAATATAAGCCCTACCCAAAAAATAAGCCCTAGTTTTGGGGTGAGGTACACACTTAAAAATCAAGCTAGGGTGGGGGGGGTGGATCCCATGCACCCTGCACCCTCTTACCTTGCAGCCAGGCCTCTCCTCGCCGCCCACTTTTTCTGAGGCGTCTTTTGCAGCCAGGCCTGCATTTCTGGAAAGGCCACTGCAGCCGAGAACCAAGCTATGAATTGAATCCATAGCTCGGTACTCGGCTGCAGAGGCCTTTCAGAAAGGCCTGACTGCGAAATACAGAATATTCTTTTGGCTGCAGAAGTGGACCGGCTGGGCAGGGCTATCGATGCAGGGGATGAATAAAAAAGACACCACCCCCTGAAAATAAGACCTGGTGCCTCTTTTGGAGGCAAAAGAAAAAAGACCCACTCTTATTTTCGGGGAAACACAGGATATTGTGTGCCATCTACCCAAGTGACTCTAGGTTCGAATGAATGAATGCATGAATGCTTTATTTGGCCAAGTGTGATTAGACACACAAGGAATTTGTCTCTGGTGCAGAAGTTCTCAGTGTACATGCAAAGCAACAGAATAATCATTATCATAATAATACCAATAAGAGGGGGGGAGTAAAGAAGATAAAGATAATAATACTTCAGCTATACTACATGGGTAAATACACAGTGGTTTGTAGGTGGTTTATAAGTGAATAGTTTTATGATAAGTTTGGAAACTGAACAAAATGCTATAGACTTATTACAAAGTTACAAACCATCTAGAACTTTAGACAGTTCATAAAGCCAAGTCATAACACACAAAGAGCTTAATTATCCTCACAATAGTAAAGTCAGTGAAAATCTTAAACTGAACAGACTGCTTAGCACAGAGTTATTTTCTTTATTTGGATGGGTTCTATTTATCTGAGGTTCATGTTCTTACCAATTGGACACAGTTCATTTTTCAAGTCAAAGAGCTTATCCAGGAAGTGTGTATTACCTTTAACTATAGCAAAAATTCATCAATGTGAGATGATCTTTAATGTTGTCAGACTGCAACTTCTGTCACTCCTAACCATTGTGGTTTGGGTTGATAATTTGGTGAGTTCAGCAAGAACTGATGGGTCCTCTCTCAAATGTAGCAAATGTAGCATCTTCCCATCTTACAGATTTGGGGGTCTGATTTTCAATGAAAAAAATGCCTATTCAGAACTATTATTTATTTGGAAATGATCAATTTTGAAGTACTGACAGTAAGAGAGAGTAATATGAGGAAGCAGCTGAACTCAATGACAAGAATGCCTGCCCTGTTTTCCCCCCTGTAGGCATTTCCGTAGGGTACTTCTTCAGTCCTTGGAGAAAGACTTAAATAAGGAACTCAATTACATCACAGCTATCATTGAAGATCAGCCGAAGAATTACCAAGTCTGGTAAGTGTAGCTTCTTTGATAACAAAAGTTATTTCCTATGTATGGAAATGTTTTGATTTCTTGTGTTTTTCCCTCTGAATACGTAGTGCAGAATTGTTGCACAGAGACTGTTAAGCAGAATTTCAGCATGGTTATTAAGGGTTCTTTAAGCTGCAGATTTTGTCGGTGTGATGATATCGATTCCCATGGGGTGGTCTTGGTTTTTGAAAGAGAAAAAATAAACAATGGCAAGATGCTGTTATGTTGGCTATGCTTTGTATATTGTGCTTGAACGATGTGATACAAATAATATATCTCAGTTACTGCTGGAGCAAAACAAGGGTATTTAAACAAAGCACAGACTCATCTAAGATGTAGGGGCTGCATCTGCCAAGCAAAAAAATACAGCAGGGGATCCGCAACAACTCACTGATTCTACTGCTGTGCTTTGTTGGATAACTTGTCTTTTGTGTTTTTATATGCTTGGGTGTTCCCTCTTATGCACCATTGCCACACTTCTTGTGCAACAGGTTTTATTAGCCATGTAATTATCAACTCAAGAGGCAATTTTACTGGGTATGGCATATATTTGCAGGCATTTCTGAGGCATCAAATGATAGTTTGGGCAAGTGAACAAGCTGTTGTAAAGCTATCATTACCATGGAAAGTTTCTTACATCTAGTGTCAATTAAAACATATTTTAGTGGATGCATTCAAGTCACGTTGCCAAATGTTATTAGAACTCAATCTCTGCTGAGCTAACAATCCCTGTATTCACACCATTCAGTTAACCTGGTTAGTGAATAAAATCATTTTCTGGGTTGGCACAGAACACTTGGTCATAAACTATTGAAATAAACTGGATTTATCTAACCCACAAATGCAGCATTTCTTAAAGCGTGATCCTAGGCTCCCAGGATCCTCCCAAGAGACTGCAAAATCTAATTGGTTTTCCAGCTTATGTTAAAAAAATAAGACTATTAAAATCCCATCAAGCAACCATGAGAATCAGTACACCATATACTTCATACAAACAAAAACTTTTAAAAGTGGGAAGGCGTCCTGAGAGGGAAAAAAAATCCCTGCACTAATATACAAGAGCCGAGGTGGCGCAGCAGTTAGAGTGCAGTACTGCAGGCCACTTTAGCTGACTGTGTTCAGCAGGTCAGCGGTTCAAATCTCACCGGCTCAAGGTTGACTCAGCCTTCCATCCTTCTGAGGTAGGTAAAATGAGGACCCAGATTGTTGGGGGCAATGTAAATATATATATACATTGCTTACTGGTGTACACCGCTTAGAGAGTGCTTGCACTTAAAGCGGTATATAAGCCTCATAAATAAATAAATAAATAAATAAATAAATACAGATCCTATTTAAGCTTTAAAATAACCAGGCTCAGCATCTCATTCAAATCTCTCTCCTAGCTGCTTTTCTGGCAGGAACATTTCCATAACAATAACTAAGGGATTACAGGTAGTCTTCAATTTATTTCAGTCATTGAACAAAGTGGTGGTTAAGCAAGATGTCACATGATTGCTTTGTTCAATGACCACAATCTCCACACTCCCAGTTGTGATTGTTAAGGGAGTTGAGGGTTGTTAAAGCAATAGAGTCCTGAGTAAGGAGCATAGGGTGCCTCAGAGGGATGGGGGAGACCCTGGGAGGGGTAACACAGGCTGCACAAGTGCCTTTCTATTCAGGAGTTGAAAATCCTCTCTGACGAAATCAGGATTTTCAGCTCCTGAACAAGGAAACCCTCATGACCAGCCTGTGCAAGGCCTCCCAGGGCCTCCCCCACCTCTAAGGCCCCAGGCTCTCCTTATGTTGTTATGCTACCTCTCCATTCAGGGCTGAAAAGACTGCTTGAATTTTGGCTCCTTCTCATCTCTAGGAACTGGCTGAAAGAGCTCCCTGCCAAAGGATTTCAGCTTTGTGCCTGCTTGCATGGAACTGAAATCCTTCGTGCCTGCTTGCATGGAGCTTGGCCAGGAGTTCTTTCAGCCAGTTCCCAGAAGGGAGAGAGAGTCTTCTTGGCAGGCAGTAGCAGCCTGCAACATTCCCTGCTGGCTTTGCCATTGACTTTCTGGGGAAGCTAGCCGAGAAGACTGCAAATGGTGATCACGTGATTGGCGTGCTGGGCAAATGGCTGTAAGTACAAACAGGTTGCCAAGCAACCAGATTACAAATTAGAAAACACACACTAACAACTATTCTTTACCATTCTTGAATTTTAGGCACCACCGGCGAGTTTTGGTAGAGTGGTTGAAGGACCCATCGCAAGAACTCGAATTTATTGCAAGCATTCTTAACCAGGATGCCAAGAATTACCATGCTTGGCAACATAGACAATGGGTCATTCAGGTATTTTTCTGTGGCTCTTATCAACAATTGCTCACTGTGATCCTGAGCAGGAAATGTATGAAAGGAAAAGTGGAAGTTTTTGTTTTGCTTTATTTTTTCCCCAAAAGAAACAAATGGCAGCCATTCATTTATCTGCTGAGAAAGTGAAGGGAAATCTATGGATGCTGTCTGAATCCCATTATGTCATTTATAACAGAAGATTGAGGAAGTGATTTTGTGTGTTTTGATAATTGCATTAATATGCTTCAGACAGATCAAGTTGTTAGTGCATACCCATAATACTTTCCCCTATAAATGGTATACAAGGTATATAATAAATATCTAACATCCAGTGTATGGTTTATTTGGTTTGACATCTCAGATCTGGTATCAAGATGGTCATATTGTTATTTCTATAATTGCTATGTGAGAATGCATGTTCACTAACTCTTAAATCTATAATTGTATCAGTTAGAGGAACTAATGGAAATGAGATAATTTTCCTAATGCAGTCTCTTAGTGTTTCCTTCAATTTTATATGTTTAGGAATTTAAGCTGTGGGATGATGAATTGGAGTATGTTGACCAACTTTTGAAAGAAGATGTCAGAAATAATTCCGCCTGGAACCAAAGATACTTTGTGATTTCAAACACATCTGGTTATAATGATCCTGCTGTTCTAGAAAGAGAAATTCAGTATGTAATGTTTTAGTTGGTTTTATCTTGTACCCTGAATACAAGGTATACATGCAGTGTATTGTATGGAGAATTTTGTATACATGTCCCCAGTGGACTTTTAGAATCCTTTCGCTACCTTAAGCACTGTGTACTCTAATTTGGGATTATGGGGACTTCAGTTTTACATCTTGCTATAACCATATCCCAAAAAGAGAGGTGATCCAGAACTGTAGAACTACAAAATATATTTTAAGAAAATCCCTATCCTTCTGGAAAGTATTCTTAAAAGAGCCCAAATAAGCTCATGGAATTGGAAAGAAATGAAAAACAAAAACTGAGAATATGGCATGATATGACAGTGAACCTGGAATTTGCAACATAAACTTCATATTGTAAAAAGGACTTGTTTTTGTTTAAAACATTGGAAATACTTTGGGCATTATATACCTTGTGATATAATGGGCATTATGTACCTTGTGATATAAATCTTGATGTATGGTTTATTTCTCCTTTAACTATAGAGGAAATGCTTTGATTCGTAAATGTATCTATCATTAGGAGTAGCTCTGAAACAAAAAATGTCCAAAGTATGGAACAGAACAGCCCCATGGATTTATTGCATTGAATAAACCTTAAAACATTTCCATGATAAGGAACTAGGTGAATTTAAAATAATCCCCTTTTCTCCTTTTGTGTTTTAATAATACAGTAATCCATGCTGAGTACTATCTGGATTAAAATTATCCAAGAAGATTGTTTCAAAAATATTAAACTATGTCCAACCAATGATAGTATAGGGATGGAATTGTGCCTACTATTGGTTAACGCAGTCTTCAAATCTCCATAAATTGGAGTATTTTTTTTAAGGTAACTGCAAGATGACAGACTCCCTGAAGCATGTGAAATTTCTCTGGATTGCTGTTGTAAACTTAGAATATTTTATGACTAATATCCATAAACAAAATCAGTGTTTCACTCAATAATAGCTTGACGTGTCTCTGTGTGCCATTCAGGATATATACTACCTTGACATATATACTGTTATTCCATAGTTTCCTTATCTAGTTTGTTTTTCCTTTTCAGGTACACCCTAGAAATGATCAAGCTGGTACCTCATAATGAAAGTGCCTGGAACTACCTGAGAGGGTGAGATAGTTTTACTTACATGTTTAATGCTGTTGTAGGTTACAGATTTAATGCACATAAAGAAGGGTAGAGTCTGGTACCTGCTCAAGATTCACATAAGAATATTATTGCTTTATTATTGTTGTTAAAGTGTTGTGTTTTTTTTTACTTTTGTGATAAAAAAAATGCTTGAAAGTATGTGACCAAGCAGATGCTGTAGAAGTCACTATTTTGTTTCACTAAACAAAATGTATTTTGATGATGAGAGGAGATGCAAATTTCTTGCCCTCTCTGAAGACTAGTAAATCCAGAAAGAAATTGTTAAAAAATGTCATTTTAGTATTTGATTTTTATAATAAATAGGGTTTCCTTCCCTGGGATTTTCTGGAACCATACATAGGACTCTGTTCTGCATGAAAAGGGTTTTCCATAGGAAAAATTATAAGTACAGTGTATTTATTCAGAGAATGTCCTGGTAACAGTTCCAATAAAAGGAACTTACAAAGCAAATAGTAGCAGTTTAATGTAGTGCAGTGTTTCCCAAACTTGACAATTTTAAGGCATGAGGACTTCAACTCCCAGAATTCCACAGCCAGCAACGCTGGCTGTGGAATTCTGGGAGTTGAAGTCCACATGCCTTAAAATTGTCAAGTTTGGGAAACACTGATGTAGTGGTTAAGATGCTGGTCTAGAAAGTGGGAGACCATGAATTCTAGTCCTCCTTTAGGCAGGGAAGTTACTTTTGGACAGTCATTCTCTCTGAGCTTGACCCAATGCCTAGGGAAGTTGTTATGGGGAAAACAGGTGAAAGTATTATGTACATCACCTTGAGTACAGAATAAAGATGGGATGTAAATTGCATGATAAATAAAAATAAATGTTCAATCAGCTAACAGCACAGGACGTGGTTTTTAAAAAATGCTTTGCTTTTTTATATTGAATAGGTTGTATCCTTTCCATAGCCAAAGTACCTTCTTTTAATGCTTAAAATACTGCAGTAATATAGCTGGCTAATTTTAGGCCCTGGATTTAATGGTCCTTGCATTAAAAGATCACATTTCATCACTTAATGCATCCCTCAGAAATTGCAGCAAGTGGGCAGAAGTTCTGTCCATGAGGAAAGATAGGGTGTATGTTTTGAGAGTTGAATGAAGTATGAGGGAAGAGCACAGCTGCTTAATTTTAATTAAAACACCAAATACCTCCTTGCTCAATTTCATCCTCGTGTTCTTCCTTCTGCCGCTATTAAGATGAGCAAGCAGAACATGAGACTGGCGCTAGGATCTCTATGCTTCTAGAATGTTTAAATTTTTAAAAAATGGCAAGGTGATTGAAATTTAATATGATGTTCATGAAACTTTTTCGTTTCAGGATTTTGCAAGATCGTGGCCTTTCAAAATATCCAGATCTGCTAGAACAGCTACTGGAATTGCAGCCAAGTCATAATTCCCCTTATCTAATTGCCTTCTTGGTGGACATATATGAAGACATGTTAGAAAACCAGTGTGAAAACAAGGAAGACGCTCTCAACAAAGCATTAGAGGTTAGTTCTTTGAAGCTTAACGTTCTTTATAGTAGCTCTCCCCAGCCTGGACTCTTTAACAGAAGTTACAGTAAATGTTTTTTTTTTTTTACAGTTCAAAATTTTATTAATTTATCCAAATATAAAATACAAAAGAAAATAAGGGAGTAAAATGGGAAAAGTGTAAGGCAAAGAGAAAAAAAAGAAAGAAAAACCGTTGACTTCCGACTCTTTTTGATGCAGTAGAATAAGATAATAGCACCAAACCTCCACTTTTTACTTTTATATAATAATAATATAAACTAACCATTTCTGTAAAGACAAACCTATATAATCACCTATATAATCGGCAGACCAAAATCAAAGCTTTGTTTTTTTTTCCACCTCAAGCACAAAGTCCAAAAGTGGTTTCCAAGTAGAAACAAAAGTAATGGTGTTTTTTTTTTTCTTTAATCAAAGCAGTCAATTTAGCCATCCCTGCTAACTCCATCAACTTTTGCAGCCATTCACCCATTGTGGGAATCAAAGTGTCCTTCCCTTTTTGTGCATAAAACAACCTTGCTGCTGTCAACATATTTAACCATCAAAGTCCCCAATTTTTTCCAAACCTTTTTCCATTAAACCCAAAAGAAGAATCTCTGGTTTTATCTTTATATTCACTTTAAGAATCTTCTGCATTAGAATATGAATCCTATTCCATTATTTCTTTGCTTTATCACATGCCCACCATAAATGATAAAAAGTCCCTTCTTTACATTTGCATTTCCAACATTCATTTGACATCCCTTTGTCTTGACAACTTGTCTGGTGTTAAATACCGATAATCATCTTATAAAAATTTTCTTTTAAATTATAATTTAATGTAAGTTTTAGACCTTTCATCCACATATTCTCTCATTGTTCAAACATTACATTATATCCAAAGTTCCTTTCCCACTGAATCATAATAGTGAGAAGTTACAATAAGTCTCCATAATCTCCATCAAGCATGGTCAGTGCCATTTCTGGATAGAGAGATAAGACCATTGAAGTCAACATCTCTGGGGGGGGGGATTTCAAAATCATAGCAAGCTCCTTGTGTGTGTTTGTGAGTGCATTATGTGTGTGTGCCTAGTGGTGGTATTAAAGAAACAGAAATATTCAGAGCTGACTTCAAATTATCAGTACTGGTGCATTGAGTGCACATACAGTTGACTTTTTAAATGCTTTTTTAAAAATGAAAGCTAAGTCACAAACTATAATTTATTCAGAACTGTATTTTCAAAAGGATGAAGAAAATGACATGCTCATTCATGTAATGTGTTATACATTATACTCTTACTATTGTTGATTTCATGCATGCCAGTTACCATGGCGTTTTATGTCAGGTATAATAAAATAATCATTTGACCTTAGAAATATCAGGGTATAAGCGCATCTTTCCCTTATATTATTTCACTTTAAGAAGCAACTTAATTCCATTTTAAAAGTAATTTCTGGTATCAGAAATAATTGCCATTTGCTTCAACCTTGTCAACATTTCAAAGGTGATAGGATTAGAAAGATTGCCTTTCAACTGGATGCTGTGTTAGAAAGCTGTATTTCATTTAATATTGATTAAGAGGCTTGATCTTATAATTTATTTAAAAATCAGGCTAATTTACCAGATTATCTGAAGAAAATACTGTGTTCTAAAAAGCTTAAAGCTTTGATAAATCAATATATTTTCAATCTCAAAACTTATTTGAACAGTGCTATCAACATTTTGAAAAAATATATTCCTGACTTAAGTGTTTATAAGCTAAATAATAGAGAACAAGAAAATGGAAGGGAAGTAAATATAAATTAAAAGATAGAATGCAGAGGGGAAATATTCATTGCAGCTGTAACTGATTTGGATATGCTATTATAAAATAGCATGCAGATTTTGATAGTGGCACTGCCAAATAAGATGATGAGTATTTATAATAACTTTTTACTTTAGTTATGTAGTTAAAAATTGCCATCTTCTAGCATAATATTGGTATGCTAGAGTGATTCAATTAAATTTCAAAGAACATTGTGTCTTCCTTTTCATTGTAGATGTTTTATTTTGGTCACAAATCAATTAAACTGGTTTAATTTATTATTATTATAAGCCTTATAAGAAGTTTCAGGGATTAAACTGAAAGGAGCCTGGAATAAGATAGTTAAGTATTTAATATTGGAGAATTCAGAGTGAATACTGTTACCCAATTCACTGGCTTTGTCCTTTACTCCTGCTTATTAAATTTACTGTATAATCCAGTGGTTCTCAACCTGTGGGTCGGGACCCCATTTGGGGTCGAATGACCATTTCACGGGGGTCGCCAAACAAGGCTGTCTGCCATTTTTCCCCCCTTTTCTTTGGCTATGCCCCTGGCACCCGGTGATGTATAAGTGGTTGGGGGTCACCACAACATGGGGAACTGTATTATGGGGTCGCGGTATTAGAAAGGTTGAGAACCACTGGTATAATCTATAGTATATAAATTTTAATTACTGTATAATTTACAGTAGCATCTCCTGCTTTACTGTAAGATCTCAATAAAGCCTGCCTTCCTTCCTTCCTTCCTTCCTTCCTCCCTTCCTTCCTTCCTTCCTTCCTTCCTTCCATCCATCCATCCATCCATCCATCCATCCATAAAACACTGTGCATACTGAAGGGAATATAAACATAAGTAACTTATTATTTTCTTTTTTTGTAGTTGTGTGAAATCCTCGCTAAGGAAAAAGACATTATACGGAAAGAATACTGGGGATATATTGGAAGATCCCTTAAGAATAAATATAGCCCAAATGAGGAGCAGACTGTGCCAACAGAAAATGATCAGCATTAATTTCATGTGAAGGAGAAATGCAGCATTCAGCTTCTGTGCATTTTACAAAATCTCTAAAACTACGCTGGCCATTAATAGAGTGTTCCCCTTCTTTCCAGAGTATGTTGTAACTCTACATTAATTGCAGAGGTATTGCTTCTAACCACATTGAGAGTGCAAAGTGTTCTGCATAACAAACTGACCCACAGTTATTGCTGCTGCACACATTAGCTATGGGGTAATTAAAGCACTGTGTGTTCAAAAAACACTTTGTAATTACTTGATTTGTATCGGAAAGAAATTTGTTTTTCTATTCAGTACATGAATAACACTGTACAACCAATTCTACTAAATTTTAAAGTGACCCTTCTTCTCATAAAGTAAGTGTGCATGTGAGACTCTGAATGTATTTGGACTGGACTGCAGAGATTTATTTTATAGTGGACGTACAGGCTAATTTAAGTTACAGTATGAGGAATATGCAGTAGTACATTGGAGCAGCTATGCAACACTATGTTTTCATTTTATCTAACTAGTGCAGTGGTTCTCGACCTTTTTAATGCCGCGACCCCCAACCGGTCGTAAGTCGAGGACTACTCAACTGGTCATAAGTCGAGGACTACTCAATTGGTGCAGCACCGTTTGCAGAATGGGACTTTTGGCAGGCTCAGCAGGGCAGAGACAGCCTGGACAATTCCTATTGGCTTTTGAAAGCCAATAGAATTACACTCTATTCAAGAGAGTCTATTCTATTGGCTTTCAAAAGCCAATAGAATAAAAGAGAGTAGCACAGCTAAGGAAAAGGGGGGGGGGAAATGGCGGACTGCGTTGTTTGGCGACCCCCGTGAAATGGTCCTTCGACCCCAAATGGGGTCCCGACCCACAGGTTGAGAACCACTGAACTAGTGCCATCAATAATTTGTCAAAAAGATATAAATACTATACTTGTACAAGAATTTAATGGCTTTGTTCTATTTTCTAGAGCAAGGATATCAGAATGGGACTATAGTGAGGGTTTTCAGTGTGGCCATGGCTCTGTATACAGGTTATTAAATCACCTGTATATCTACAGAGGAAATAGTTTTTGACAATACATTGACCTAATTAAGTCTTTATCTCTGTTTTCCTGGCTGGTTTCTTGTAATTGGGGAATATTTGTACCTTGGAATGTATTTAAGATAGGGATATCTATATCTACGCATACACATGTACAGTTTATTATTTTAATATTTAAGGCCAATTCACCAATGCCATAATAATTGTTTCAGGTTTTTTCCAGTTGTCTCTGAAACTAGGCTGGCCAGATTAGGATGGTCCTGCATTCAGATTTATTTTAAAAAATGGTTTAATTCTTTAAAAAGAAAACCTTCTGCAAATTAAGATTAAAAGTGGAACCAATTAAAAACAAATAAAACTCCATCCATTTTTAACACATGAATTCAACAGGGATTCGAAATGATCTACAAACTAAGTAACCAAAGTTCTCTTTGTGAATGAACCTGTCAGTTTTGCTTTTTTTCATTCATGTTCTTAAACCTTGAGCATTTTTCTTTCTGTTAATGAAGAATTGTACAAACTTTTTTGTAAAATAAACTGAACAAATATACCTTTCCTCAATTTATAGCTAAATAGATGATATAATAATAAATGAGAATGTTATTTGGATCAATTTGACCTACTTTACTTGGGAAGCCTTTTAAGCCTTCATTTTGATGCAGTAAATACACGTAGTCCTCGACTTACGCTGTCTGAATTTTGATCATGTGACCATGTTGATGCTGCAACTGTCATAAATGTGAAAACAGCCGTAAGTCACTTTTTTTAGTGAACAATCACTAAACAGACTGTTGTAAATTGAGGACTACCAATATTCTGCATGCCACTTTACAATGACAATCCTGAGCTGGTTTTTGTACATAATCCTGCCTTACCACTTAAGTGGGAAACGGCATTATTATATATGGATTTCTTGTACAAGAGATCTTACCATTCCGATTCTAGAAATCAGAGAAAGTGCTGTCCACAAGAAAACAGCTCAAACTTTATTACTGCATTGTCAAAAATTTGAGAGAGAAGGTTAGCGAGACGCCCAATGGAAAATTCTGAATGGGGGATAAAATATCTCAGTTTTTGTTCTATGAAATACAATATGGTTGTAACTCTTCTATGAAAGCTGCTACAGCAGAGCAGCTGGTCTACAAACTAGAAAGTGCCAAGTTAAAAACATTTCTTTGCCAGGAATTCAGCAGGCTAGTTAGGATTCCTACTTTTGGCCCAAAAACATCAAGTCCACTGACAATTATAAGGAAGAGCAGCATCAAGTGGTGGTGAATCTGAGACTTGGGACCTCCTACACATGGTTTACTCCACAGATTCTGCAGAGAAAATTCACCATACAAATTGTCTCTTACTCTCAAGTTAGAATGAAACAAATTCAGGCATTTGTCACACCTTCAGAACTGGCAAAAGATTCACTTTCCACCCTCTTGAGAATGATGGGAAAAAAGAATGGTGGATTCTGTTGGGAAATAGAAATTCTTTCCAGCTCTAAAATGTTACCCTCTGGTCCTGCAGCATAGTAAGCCTATATATTGTTCGGCACAGATGTGAGTCTTTGGAACATGGCCTGTAAATTTGGTTTTCTGAAACTGATGACAAAACTGTTAGGCAAAGAAATTATCTTTCAGGCTCAGTTCCCAAAAAAGCAATACAGGATTAGTAATACTGAGTGCATGGGGTTACTGAAAGTATTACAAAGTTGAGCCTTCACTAAATTTTTACAAATAAAAAAAAAGGAAATTTGGCTGTCTCCTTTTCTATTTGGATTTGCACTTGAAGGTAAGCCAACAATTTATTATTATCACCACAACATTGTATACAGGATAATTCTTCTTTAGGGCAAAAACTGTTTTTATTGCATGAAACCTAAATGAGCATGTTTTTTCCCCTATACATTTTAATCCCACAACACCTTGAAGATAAACGTCTACAGTTATCCTTTCATAGGTTTCCCTACTTTGTATTCTAGTAAGATATATTCCCCTAGTTTCTGCCTATTATAGTACTATACATTTCTCTTTTAAAAACTGGACAGTACTGAAATAATATAAACTTGAATATAACATAAACTTGAATATTCTCCAAAAAGTATGTTTACATTTGAGCAAAACAGCTTGCTTCCATCAGCCAGTTATTTATAGTAATAAAATCATGAGACTGAAGAAAATATATCTTCAGAAAATATATATTTGGGATATTAGGTTACTTTTAACATAACATTTTCTGTTTTACCCAAAAATTCTTCTTTCAAAATAAAAATGCCTTCCAATCATTCTCAGTCACAAACTTCCACTGAGTAAAAATTACGACAGCGCATTTATTCTTTGTCCAAAACATGATCAGTAATAAGGAGCACCACCACTCTTATAATTTGAGATTGAAGCAAAAATGCTTTCAGAAAAGATGGAGAAAAGGAGAAGTTTGGAAAATTACAGAGAATAAGAGGAAAATGGACTGTAAATAAATGTACACATCTGAATTAAAATCGGATGTGTGTATGAAAGGCATAGCACAGATGGTAATAACAAGAATATGATAGTGGACACATGGCACTGGAACCTAGAACACTTATCCTGTTATATTAATAAACTGAATTATGTCACTTAGTTCTAAAGAGTTTTAAGGTTATTACATAAAGCTTTATTAAAGTTACAGCCCAAAACATGTGCCTTTAGATACAAGCCCCAATAAAACCAGTGAGGTTTACTCCTCAATAAATGTGTTTAAAGAACACATGTAGAAGTTGAACCACTTATTAAATATAACATACCCCTTGAAAGCCAGAAAAATCCAACCCCTTTATAGGACAGGGCTAGAAATGTTCTTTCTCCTTTTAAAAAAGTCTTTCTTAACTTTGGAACTCTTCTTTTTTCTTCCCCACAGGAATGTTGGAAAAGAAATGCAGATCACTATTACAGGGGTTTTAATTGTTTTCTTTCAGAGTGATTTTAATACTATGGGGAATTTGCTTCCTTTTATTTGACATTCAACTTGACAGAAGTGATATATAACCAAAGTTAGGAGAAACTTTTGACTTCAAGGAAAAATGAGTAAGAGTTCCTAATTTACAGATTATAGATTATTCCACGAATGTGTATAATTGGATATAAAAAGGGGGGTTCCATTCATCATTCCCTAGGGCAGTTTTTTTTTTAATGCGGTAGAGGATCTCAGTAATGAAGATAAGAGGCAGTGACCAGCAGATATGAACCTGCCTCCATAGTTTTCTTTTGACAATTTACCTTATCTAAGCAACTAGTCAAGAAAAATTGCAAATTACCATCTCTTTAGTATCCTTAACCTTTATTAGCTAGGACCTCACATTGTGGATGAGTAGCATTTTTGGCTGGGCTAAGAGCCACATTGAATGGCACCCATTTCACAGGGTGGTTGTGGGGAAAATAGGAGAAGGAAGGCATATTGGATATGTTCGCCATCTTAAGTTATTTGTAAAAATAATAAAGGCAAGATACAAAATAAATAAACATGATGCAATGTAGGGGAAGCCACACATAGGTGGAATTGGGATTTTCCATTTTTTCTCTGGGTTTCATAGTACTTAACTTTTATTTTAAAATAAGCCTGTTTCATGATGCACAGTATACTTTTGTTATTAACCAAAATTGTGAGAAACCATACTGCTAATTTTTGGCAATCATGGACAGGAGATTCTGAAGGCCTTAAAAAAGAATGATGGATTCAGGTTGCAGATGGCCAAGCCACAAGAAGAAGATTTAGGGATAGAATGGAGATCAATTGGGAATAGGAGGAAAGTAAAGGCAAAGCAAAAAGTACTTGTAGAGCAGAGGTTCTTAACCTTTTTGAACGAATCGCCCCCTTGAGCCAATGAGGAAGTTGTCATCGCCCCCCTCCCCAACATAACCTCTCAATCACGACATAGGAAATAATTCTTCAATTTATGCAAACACTTTTTTTGTTTTCTTTAAAACTGTCATCAGGACATATCGATGCAAATAATTTATTTCCAGTCTTTTTCCCATATCTCAACTGTGTGAAAAATTTTGGTGCCACGCATCACTTTATTCCCAAACTTTATGATACATGTATTTCCTTATTGTCTTATTTATTCAAGACACTTAAATGTAATGACCACTGAAAACAAAATTCAATTGCAAGAAAGTGAAATGCCTGAAAAGAAAAACAGTAACATTTAATGATTGAATTACAAGTGAAATTTAAGACGCAAAAATATAAAAAGGGCATAAGAACAAACCGCAATGCAGGAACTAAGAATTTCAAGACGAAAACTCTGAAAATAAATTAAGATTCGAGGAAAGTATATATACTCACGCACACTGTAAAAAGGATGAAAAAGACACAAAATATAATATTGAATTGGAGTGCATGCTAAAAAAGTACAATATAAAGAGAGACACAAAATGTTTTACAGAGTACAACAAAAATTCGAAAACAAAGCCAAAAACTCAAACTGGAACGTGAAATCCAATACAAGCAAATACATCGATAAAAGCTCAGACAATTATTAACGAAAAAAATGTATGTATACAAAAAGCAAAAAAAAAAAAAACCACTATCAATGGCTGCCTTGTGCTTGGTGAGCTGATGTCAATTTCTTGAGGTCTGGAACCATTTTTGTTAATCGCATTCTTAAATCACCGCACTCAGAGATCTTCAACATGTTCCTTGACTTAGAAAGGATCTGCTGGATGGCACCGAAGCCCCTCTCCACTAAGTAAGTGGAAGGAAAGGCTAAAAGAAGCAACTTAACTTCCTCCCACAATATTGGGTAAGTATTAATATCAATATTAATGACATAACATAGAGACTCGTGCAAACGGCCACTCAAATTTTTTGAGACAAGGTGCTGTCTATGAACAACACAATGGACAGTCATAACTCCAGGTACAACCGATTTTAGATGAGCTTGAAATCCACGATATCGTCCAACCATGGATGCAGCTCCGTCGGTTGCACATGCCACGACGTTTGTCAAAGGGATGTTTTTCTCATTAAAAAACTCTTCAACCTTTTTAAATATCGAAGAACCTTTTGTGTCGGTGGCTAAGTTTCGAACAAATAACAGTTCTTCCCCGATCTCTTCATTCCCGTTGATGAAACGGACATAAGTCAATAATAAGACTTCATTTTCACGAATCGTTGACTCATCAATCTGCATCACGAATTCTGTATTTTTCAAGGTATCAATAAGCCTTTCTTCCACATCAGCAACCATTTCATCAATTCTTTTCGATACGGTGTCATTGCTCAAAGGAATCGATTGCGTGATAGTAATTGTGCTGGGCCCCAACATGGTGGCAACAATCTGTTTCACTGCTGGTAAAATCAGCGTTTCTCTGATAGTGTGAGGTTTGCCACATTTTGCTATCAACAAAGATACTTCATAGGAACAAATGAGCCCCTTGTCAGCATTGAGTGACGATTTCCCAAATAACTTCCCAACAGTGCTGCGACCCTCAAACTTGGCCTTTAAGGATTGGAAAAATGATGCCGGTTTGTCAGCTTTATCCGAATGAATTCTTACCAAATGGTCTTTCAGTTAGGAAGGCTTCATTGCTTCATCTGAAAATGTTTTCTCACAAAGAAGACAAAACGGAAGCTGTATGTTGGAAGGAGATGGAATGAATGAATTTTAGGTATTCCATCGAATATTGGTGATACTTCCTCTTCTTGGCCATGTTGAGAGGTCTTCAAAATGAAAGGCACTACCTGCAAATTAAATTTTCGACCCCACTGGAACACTAGAAAAACACACATGGACATCAATAGTTTCAATAGTTATGTTGACATTACAACTGACGTTACAGGGGACAGCCACTCAGCATGTGATGTTTCAAAAGAAGCGCTCCCCCCTCCATCACTGCCCATTCTGGCCAATGGTGCACCACTATATGGGTAGAGGCTGCTGTGCAACGCGCATGAAGATAAGCGATGCATATTCACATATGTACGGCGCTCTGTACTGAATCTAGCTGGAGGAACATTTGAAAACACAATTCAATCCACTAATAGAGAGCGATCTGATATTTTTGTACGACAGATATACAGCGATTCACTGTACAAAAAAGTCTCAAAAATGTCCCCCGAACTTCTCACTCCATCGCCCCCATATCGCCCTCCTTTTTTTCCTTCGCCCCCATGTCGCCCCTTTTCGTTCCATCGTCCCCCTGAAAAATGAAATCGCCTCCTGGGGGGCAATATCGCCCAGGTTAAGAATCACTGTTGTAGAGAATGTGTACTTTGAATATGCACAGCAACACGGGGAGAGTATTTGTTAAAGAGATAGCATAAACTATTTTAATGAAATTGTGCTGTATGCTTGAAGTAAAAGAAAAAAATCCAGAGGGGTTTTGGGTAGTTTCCTGTCCGAGAACTAAGTAGGTCTCTCCCTGCTTAGTTTTTCAGGATTCAAGGTCACTGAATTGGTAAGATAAAGTAGATTATTGGAGTTTTATTGGATTCAAAAATTGTGAATTCAGAACTTGCCTTATAAACTTCTGACATCATATGAACATTTTATTCAGAATTTGAAGAATCATTATTTTGCCTTTTTTTTTAATTTTTAAAAATCATTATGGTTACCATGAATGGGGTTCTCCCACAATGCAGCCATTTTACAACAGCACCCACAATACCTTTTCAAAATTTCAAATATGCCATCTAACATAAAACAGTTGGAACTGTCACACACATGAAATCAGGAGCCAAGGCGGTTCAAATGAATACAGGTTTAATGCACATTAACATTTTCCACAAGAATCTGAACTACTAACGGTGAAAGCAAATTGGCGGTAGATAAGAGTCAACAAAATTCAAGATGGGCTGGACTTAGATCTGGGATTCTAAATTGATGATGTGCTTGACACCTCCCTCAGGCTCAGCCTGGTCATCTCCTACAGGCGCATCTTCATTTAAAACTCTGCCTTTCTCCCTCCAAATCAATAATTAATCTTAAGGAGGAAAGAAGACCATTTTGTGCAATTGCTGCTCAAGGAAAGGAGTGAAATTCTAATGTACATAAACAAAGGGGGCAGTAGTATAGGACAATCAACGATCACCGACTTAGTGATTTCCAATTTTGTTCTTAAAGTACTTTATAGCAGTGCAAGTCCAACAATAGCCATTAATTAAGAGACAAAGATAAAGAAATTCTGTGTCTTTTGTCTTTAGCCAGTTTTTATGGAGGCACTTTTGAAACATAAGAGGTAGTTCCAAAAAGTTCTATTATCAGCTTTCCTCAGTTCTTTCATGAAAATATTCACATCCACAGACTTAATAAATCCAGGTTTAGATTCTGAACCTTTTCCCCCACTGTACGGACTCTTCAAAATGTAGTTTAGAAATCTAGTTCCCTAAGAATGATCAGGAATGCCTAACAATTGAAAAGGGAGGTCATCTTTATAGACAAATATTCTTTTTTCTCCTCTACGAATGAGAAAAGTTGTAATGTGTACCTGTTCCACTATCACTTTCCTTTGGGCAGTCAAGCTGTTTTCAGCAAAATCTTGAACCTATCAACGTTGATGAAGCCATGAAACCGCCTGCTCTTGCTGGATAATTGCTCTAGGAGGAAGTGATACAAGACAGCCTCTGAGCTGCAATTACACAATTTTGCCCACATCTTTGATCCTCTGTACCACTGTTCATTATTTGAACATACCAACTATCTAACTTAAATATCACTTGTTCCAATGTGGGAATTCAGTACATAGTAACTGGCTGAGAAAAATTGCCCAGGATTTTAAGATAATTGGGAGAATTGGGTACATAATGGGGAAAAATACTATTTTCAGCGTACTTTACAGTCCCAAGAAAGCCAGGGAATTAAAGAGGTGGCTAACCACCTGTAACGTTTGTACTAAAGGAAATTCTGAAATTGGACTGAGGACGATGATTCTTTGGGAGGAAAAAATATTTAAGCCCCACCATCTGTGGTCCTCTATATCCAATTTAACTTCAGCCCGGTGTGTGTTCAAAAACCTTCTTCACCTGAAAGTGCGAATACTAGCCAGAGTTATGCCGCCAGGCTCCAAACATTCCAGGATGGATGGATGGATGGATGGATGAGAGAGAGAGAGAGAGAGAGAGAGAGAGAGAGAGAGAGAGAAGAAAAAAATTGCTGCTTTATCAGAGTTTACCATCGGTTAATCCTACAAAGGCACCTGACCTCGTCTACTGTATTACATCAACCTAAAATGGATAAGGGCTATGTCTCGCCTTGGCTCTCTTCCCACGATCCTAGTCTGGCTTCGGGACGAACGGGAAAACCTCAGTCTTACCGGTATCTAGAGGAGAAAGGACCGAGGAGCCCGGACCTTAACGGGTCTGACAAAGAAAGAGAGAGAGAGAGAGAGAGAAAGCAAGAAAAGGAGCCTTTCCCTTGGGCTGTTCAGCCGCCGGCTCTTTCTTCGCTCCTGCTGGGTGATTTCCACTTCCTCTCCGCGGGAGAGAAAGGAGGAAGGCTGGGTTGGGCTGGAGGAGAAGAAGGTCGCGGCGGCGCTAGTTGTTACCAAAGTCTCTCTCGCGCTCTCTCTCCTTCCCTGTGTCTCTCTGTATATTTGTATGTCTGTGAGCGCGCGCGCGCGGATGGCGCGGGGAGGGGACTAGGCGAAAGAGGCCGCCGCGAGCCGCCGCTGTCGTGGTCGAGCGGGGGGGTGGGTGGGGGGGAGGCGGCGCTAGAAGCGGGCCTGGGCTGAGCGAGCTTACGAAGTCACCGTGTCACGGCGGCGGCACCCGCCCGCTCGCCCGCCTGCCTCATTGCTGCTGCTAGGGAAGGGGGGGGGGAGGAAACTGCCGCCGCTTCTTTTACCCGGAAAGGCCTCTCCGCTCTGCTACCGCCACCATCACCAACCTTCGTCTCCTCCTCCTTCGCCACCGCCGCCGCCGCCACCGGAACCGAATCTCCTCCCTCCACACACACGCACACACACGCGCGCGCCCCAGCCCCGGCGAGCCCTCCCGAGCCGTGCACACCAGAGGGGGCGACTTGGGGGCCCAGGCTAGGCCAAGACGGGCCGGGCCCAAGCTGCAGAGCGGGCGCCGAGCAGCCAAGAGAGCGGGGGGTGGGTGGGAGGGGGGTGAACTGGAGCCCGGGACGGGCCTGGGCTGGGCCGGGACAGGCCGCTGCCGCCGTCTTCTCCTCTGAACTAGGATGTCCCGACATGAAGGTGAGTGCGAAGCCGGAGCAGGCCGGCCTTGGGCGATACGAGCCGGGAAGGGGGGAAGAGGAGCGAGACAGAGGTGGCTCATCATGGCGCCGCCGACGCTGCACTAGGAGTGGTGATGGGAGTAGTAAGTCGGCTGGGAAGAAGCCGGCAATCGAGCCCGTCCGAGAGGGCGAGCCGCAGCGGCAGAAGGGCGGGCCGGCCCCGCTTTGCATTGTCATGGGGCCTATGGCCGTTACAACTCCTCTTTCGCCCCGATCCACGGGTGGCCTGAGGTGCGGCCTAAAAAAAAAACCGAGGCAAGGCCGTTCTGGGAGCCTCAGGGCCGGGCCTGGCCCTGGCCCCACCCTAGGGGGAATAGTTATTGGGCGAAAGTTTCCCCGGTTTCCGGGACGATCTGTGCGTTTCAGGGTGGGCGTCCTTGAGAGAGGAGGGAAAGGGGCTCTGAATCGGCGAGAGCCAGATGGCAGAGGGGGTGGAAACGGGCAAGGATGGACTTCGGGATGGCTCGCATATTGGACCGAGTTGAGGGTTGTTCTGCGGCACATGGGAATGACGTGCCTACATTTGAAGGGTTAACGGCGTAAAGTGTTGCCGAATGAAATCGGAGGGGGTTGATTATGAGAGTGGGGTAGGCCACATAGAGGAAAAAGTTTCCCGGGCAAATGTGAATCTGTGAAGGACAGATGTTGGGGAAAGGTGCGAGGGCTGAGGCACTTAGCTGACATTGTATTTGCTGGAGAGGAAGGGATAACCGAGAATCCACCGTAGCCGGTTAAAGCTGTGATTGGATTGGGCGAAGGAGACCAGCTAAGGTAGAGAACGACTTGCAGCAGGGCCGCAGGAAGGGAGGTTAACGGTCGGAGATCATAGGCCCGAAAAGTGGGGAAATGTACCTTGTGTACTTAAGGAAAGTGTATTCAGAGATAGTTGTACTAAGGTTAGGTGCGTGTATACAGGAAAATGTAGGAAGGAAGGAGGAAGTTGGTACTGAACTTGGATAAAGTTCACATGTTTCAGAGAATGCACGCTTTCTTGAATTCCAGGAAAGTACAGTGTCAGAGAAAAGTGGAAAATCATTTCAATGGAGAAAAATACATGAGAAACAGATCAAGTGGAATATTGAGCTATGGATGGATGTATGTGTGGTATATGCAATTGGTTGAGAAAGTGTTGAGTTTTTAAATGATTTCTAGCAAATTTAAAGTTTTATAAAGAGTCTTTTGTCCAGTAATGAGTAAAATTGTCACTATTTAGGTACTTCTCTCATCAGGCATGCTTGTATCTTGTGGTACTTTATAGATATTGGAAGTATTTTTTAATAAAAATGGTTCCTTGAGAAAACCTTTTTGTTGACAGTATATAATAGGATCTTTTGCTTTACCTACAAAAGTGATAATTCAGCTTCCTCTGCATTTTCATTCTTGAAATAAGGAGAATTTGGAAAAGAATATCCTTAAGAAGAAGAAAGAACATTAAATGCAGGACTGATGGATCATTCTTTCTCCTGATATTTTGAAGATGTCAATAATCAGAAGTTATTTGTTTAAACAACTTTTGTCTAAATTTGTACAAATTTAGTACCAGGGAAAGCAAACTACAGGGTTAATTATCAGTGGGCCTTATATAGTGTTATGGAAATGCGTGACAGGCGTTTGGGGTACTCTGTAATGAAGAAGCTATGACAAAACAGCACTTTTATGTTTAAAGGTAATTGAAGAAATTAACTATGTATTTGAACAAAGATTTTCAATCTTTGCTCTTGGTTGTTGTCTTTTATAATTGAAATTCCATCAGTTGATGGGATTTATCAGAAAATAGCTATCCTTTATACTTTAAATAGCTTAATAAGGGAATTCATGAAAGGTAGCTCTCAATAATTATTATCCATTATGGGTTATGCAGGGGTCTTCAAACTTGGCCCTTTTATGACTTGTGGACTTCAATTTCCAGAATTCCTCAGCCAGGCATAAAAGGGCCAAATTTGAAGACCCCTGGGTTAATGGATCTTTGAAGTTTGTAGACAGAATGACATTAGATAAGATTAGTTAAAGACTAGTTAAATTCTTGGTTTGTTTCAGTAAAGCTGTAAAACTGCATATTTTACTAAGCAGTAATAGACTACTGTTGTCTTTTTGAGGAATGAATGGTTTTTAAATTGTTTTTAAGGGCTGCAATCAAGTTGTATGGAAATTTAAAGGATGTTAACAGAATAAAGTATCATTATAGCTCTGCTGATTAAAATTATAAAGGAGAGATGCCAAGTACTTGTGAGGTTTGTAAATATCCTGTTGATACCAATTCTTCAACATCTGACTTTCCCTATAAATAGCAATAATAGTGATTTTTCTTTTTTAAAAAAGCTCAATAGATCTCGGAGAGATTGTAAGCATATACAGTAAAATGAAAAAACAATTTCAAATTGCTTTTGTAATTTGTAAATGTCTTTAGTTTTACAGCTGAATCCTATGTTTATTAACTGAGAGGTGCCAAGTCAGTGTTCAAGAGACTGCACTCTGAAAGTATTACCTTCAATAGATTTTAGTGATGAAGAAAGTTATTCTGAACAATTTTACAAAGTATTGATATTTTCTTAGGTTTTCTATCTGAATCCGCGGGTCTCAACCTGTGGGTCGCGACCCCATTTGGGGTCGAACAACCATTTCACGGGGGTCACCAAACAACGCAGTCCGCCATTTTTTCCCCTTTTCCTTAGCTGTGCTACTCCCTTTTATTCTATTCTATTGGCTTTTGAAAGCCAATAGAATAGACTCTCTTGAATAGAGTCTAATTCTATTGGCTTTCAAAAGCCAATAGGAATTGTCCAGGCTGTCTCTGCCCTGCTGAGCCCGCCAAAAGTCCCATTCTGCAAATGGTGCTGCAAGTTGTCTGCAGCGAAGGCGAGCTGTGTGGAAGTTTCTACCCCTCCCTGCTGAGCAACTACTAAAAATGTAAGTAAAAGAGGGCCAGGCGTGGGAGGTGGGAGGCCGGCGGGCGCAGGGAGGGTTGCTTACCTCCCTTGGGCTGGGCCAGCTGTGGCCCAGCCGGTGGTCGGCCTGCTCTGTCTCTGCCGCTTGCCAGCTACGCCTTGGCCGGCGCAGGGGGCGGCACCATGCATGCGTGGCACTCCCGGGCAGGGAAAGTCCTCAACTTACGACTGGTTGGGTAGTCCTCGACTTACGACCAGTTGGTCGCGGCATTAAAAAGGTTGAGAACCACTGATCTAAATTATTTTGACTAAATTCATAAGAGAAACAATATTGAATATATAATGAAAGTATAACTTTGCTACTTTCAGTGTATTTAACAATATTAGAGAATCAACACAATTGTCTTTGAAACGCTGATTTCCTTAAGTAGATGTCTGTTTTTTATGTTTTGGACAGGTGTCATCAGCAAGCAAGTAATAATATCTCTTTAAAAGTTGATTGTTTTGTTGTTTGACAATTAACATGGGGAATTGGAGCCAGAGAACCAACAGTTGATTATCTTGGAGGCTACAGGCTATCAGGGCCATATTGTTCATTATTTACAAGCAGCAAGGCATTTGAATTGTATATTAAGAGCAGGCCTTGATATTTTTTTAGGGAGCCAGTTTATTGCTGATACAGTTAATGTTGCATTAGTATAACAACCTCTTTTATATACTTGCTGAAGTTTATCTAGATGCAGCTATTATGCTGCAACTAACTTTATTCTTTTCTCAGGAAAACTGATAAAGGTTAATGTGCCTTACCTCTATTGGCAACTCTTTTTTTGTACTTGGTTAATAGTTCTAATACTGAGCCAAGATCTGATGAACTCCTTGTTTAAGTTTTATTAACTTCTGTGTTATCAGTTCCTTTCACTATGAACAATTCTGTATCTCCTAAACATTTGAATATTAATCTTCAGTGATAGAAGTTTGAGCTAGGAATAGCTTTTGCATATCTAAATTCTACACTTTAGCTCTTTAGCGTTTAGCTCAAAGTTTTCAAAACATTAGTGTACAATACAGACTCAGAGATAAGCAAGTTAAAAATACAGTACACTTAACAGAGATTACTCTGGGGTGGAAAGATACACGGGTACGTAAATAAAGCTGGTATATAAATAATACTAAATCATTGAAGTGTGATACTGCTTTTTTGTATATTGTTCCAGTTGTATTCATTATATCCTCTTCAGTATTTGCTATACATCCTGAATACATCCTTACACAACCAGTCAGTGTCCATCTAATTCAGCAATTTGTTTTGAACAGCACCTAACGTGATGACTTTGGGGAATTCATAAACAACATGATGGACATTGTCTCTTATAGTACTTAAAGCTTATTATCTTGAATTACCAAATTCCATTGTTAATTCTCTGACTAAATAATCATTGAAAGACACTTGTTCCTTGTTCCTTCTAGTAAGCCTGTTTTTCATGTCATTAACCGTTTAAGTACCATATCTTGAAGCAATATATTTCTTCTGCTCAGCTAACTTTAAGTTCTTCTATACTAAAAGAATACAGCATAAGCCCATTAGGAATTGTGCATAACATGGATTATTTCTGTTATGATCTGGTCCTAATAAGCACCCAGTGGCTACGCTACAGAATATAGTAAGCCATAATGTGGTTTGGTTTAGAGGTTTGTACCTAGTATTGTGATTTATAAACCATGCTTTAGTATATTTTCTGAACTCAGGCACTTCTGACTGACTTCATAAACAATTGAAAAAGTGGCTTATTTTTGTGAACATAAGAATGCTGTTTCAAAAATTAGGAAATATATGTTACTAATATACTTATTGTATATTTAAACTATTGTCTTATAATGTGTTAAATCAAGAGCTTGCAGCGTATCACAGAATGGAGAGAAAATGAAGAATTCATATCATTTATGATTTATTACAGAGACATAGTGAAACGTAAGGAGTAAATATTATACCAAAGTTTTCACAGAAAGATTGGTTTTGCAGAGGAAGAATTTGAAAGGAGAAACTTTAAACAATGTTATGGAAAGCATAAGCAGT